CAAATCTTCCGCCATGATATTTTTGTTTTTTTTTATATCAAAAATTGAGAAACACGTTTTAGAAATCCATCAAAATTAATCAAAACACATAACAATTATACATTCAAATCACTTAAAACCCATCATGGATTGTGTGAATCAGTTAAAACCCAACAAAAAACATTCAAATCCAAATACATTAAAATCCCTTGAAATACCCAATCCAATAAGAGGCCCTAAGTTTGTGTTTATTGCTTATAGCTTGATTGACCGTCTAAGCTATGTCTTAAGTAGATTTACTTCTGACCGCTTGTTAAATCTCTTGAATCAACTTAGATGAGCAAGGCATAGTAACCTACGGAAGTAGAATTGCAAGGCTTTGTGAACTAGACCTACGGAAGTAGAGCTATCGAATTTGACTGTTCTTACATGTTTAATCTCTTGATTACCTGCGGAAGTTGTGTGATTTAGGTTGTTAGACATAGTAATTGGCACTGCGGGAGTAGGTCAATTATACTTATTGATTCGAGTTCTAGAACAAACTATTGATTTCCCTATCTATTTGCTTGATCCAATCTATGAAACCTTGCGAATTCTCTAATGCCCAATGCTTTCTCTATTGCTTTCACTTATTTACTTTACTTTGCTTTGAAACTGACAACAACAAACCTCCATACTTGAGTCCTAGCTTGATTCGAATCTCATAAACTCATAGTGTAACTTATCTGGTCCTTGTGTTCGATAACCCATACTACCAACGATCCGTGCACTTGCGGTATCTAGTAATAGGATTGGGTAAAACTTAATCCACATCAATGGATGATAAATTCACTAATCCACACATTGAATTAGAGAGCTTAGAGATCATAGATTCCAAAGTCATCTTATTTCTCATTTGTGAATTCATTTTTTCCAGGGATGAAACAGAGACAGAAACTCAAGTCTTCAAGGTCATCTTGTGAATTCAGCTCTTGCCACTATGATGTTCATCGAAGATAAATTCACTAATCCACACATTGAATTAGAGATTACTCAACACGCCTATTGAATCTAGTATCCTTACTTTACAATTACATTGATCAGTCTACAATTAGATTGATGAAGAGTACATATGAAACAAACAAAAGAATTTTCAAGAGAGAAAACCCAGATCCGAATACATTGAAGAGATGGATGCTTTTGAGATAACCTGATCATGGACGGTTTAGTGATGCCAAAATCGAAACCTTGGTTGGACAAAAGAACTCTAACAAAATACTCCATATGTTTCTGTCATTTGCAGATATATATATATATATGAATGTGTTTTGAATTAAATACATCCAAATACATTTATGTAAACGACAACTAATTTGAAAAAATACATTTATGCAAACGACAACTAATTTGAAAATGAGGAAGTATTAATCATCTAAATTATATATCTATCATCCGAAACTTTATTTCATACGACAACCGAACTATAAAAAAAAATGCATACTTTTTATGATGTTTATGGTGAAGTTTTAAAGATTTGTAAATTTGAAACCAAAACATTCTTATATACCATTATAAGAGGTAGATGCCGAATAGTCAGTGCAGTTTAGTATTTAGAGATGAATTTATAGTTTGTATAGCCATTAAACGATTCAAGAAAGGTAAAACTCGTATAATTATGAAACTACCGAGTATAGTAGTTGTATCTATATAGGCTATTGGATGATTTTTTTTTTTTTTTTTTTGGTTCGCTGCAAAGTCTTCCATGTGTTCTCATTTGTCATCAAAGTCGTTTTCTTTGTTTTTTACCTGGTCGCTGAACAAACTGTTAGTAATAGAAAATGTCCTCTTCAATATTTAATTTTAATATATTTACATGCACCTTGTATTATTACAAATCTTTAAAAGAATATATTTCATACGAATACGATACGATATTTTGGATTAGACGGAATGTATAATCTGAGAAATTAAAAGGGGAAAAATATCGTTGACCAAACCAACAACAGGCTTGCCCGCAAAATCTTTCAGACAAAACCGGTAAAAGCGGATCAAGAGACTGAATGAGAGAATCTCGATCGAACGATTCACACGGATGGTGTGGAATCTACCGTACACGTGGCAGCATAACTTCGGAGACATTCACGCTTCACACGTAACTGCTGTGTTAACCAAACAAGACCGGTTTCGACGCTCCAAACAAATAAACAAAGGTGTGGGTCCTACCGCACGAACGCGACGTCTGTGCAACGTTATCAAAGATCTCTGTCTCTTTCGCTTTTTCTTAAATTTTCTTTTTTCAATTTATCTTATGTTTCTACTAAACCAACCAATTAATTAAAAATAATAAATTAAACTTTAAATCTTGAACTCTAACTCAAAAGTTAAATAAAAAGTTGTAAACCATAACCTAGCTACCAAAGTTTGCAAAAATGTAAACTATTTGTTAATTATACAGTTTATACTACAATCACCCTGTATTTTCTTGATATTTCATTAATTTGGTTAGAATATATTGTAATTATTAGTCTGAGGAAGTCAAATAATAGACTCAAACTATATTCTCCTAATATTATTTAACAAAAAAACTGAAATATTTATTTTTTCAGCCAACATTGAAATAGTATTTGTTTATAACGATCAAGTACTATTTGTTTTGACCAAAAAAAAAAAAGAATAATTAGTATTGCATAAGTGTTTACTGTGACCACATATTTGCGTGTAAGAAAAATATGAAAATAAATGGCACAAAATGACACCAACCGAATCATATGTTAATTAGTTTAAAATGGTTGGTGAATTTGATGTTATTGACAGATGTTTTTCTTTTCTACTACGTATGTGATCATGGTCTTGGATCTTGTGCGAGTGCTTTCTTTCTGTCTACACTTTGGTTAGTTAAATACCATTGTCATTAAGCGTTAATTTTTCTGGGTTCGCCACCCTATGTGTCTACAATTTGACTCATTCAATTGTTTTAGTTTTCAATGTCTAATTTAATTATTCGGGACCGTCTGATCTATCGGGACCATAACCTATTTATACATCACTAATCATGATTTTAATGTGTGTGAAACATGTAGCTAATTGTAAACAAATTTCTCACATTTGTTTATTGTGAAAGAAAAGATAATCAGATCTGTCTAACTAACCTTTTGCGTGTGGACTCTAATATTGTTTCATAATATATGGAGTTTAAGGTTTTTCATACAAATTAATAAGTCATTTAATTTTTGTATTTTTTGAAATAAAATATATTTTATCATCAATTTCAAAATATTTCAATCAATAAAAAAAATATCTGCAGAATATAAATAATCAAAAGTAACAAAACCACATTTAATTTTGTATAGAAACTCTAAAAACCCCGTTAGGAACTTAGGTTGTAGACCAAAAAAAAAAAAACTCTAAAACCCTTTTATATTTTGAAACAAAAAAAAATCTCTAAAACCCCTTATAATTTAAAACTGAGGGAGTATTAGTATTTTGAGCAAAAAAAAAAAGGAGTATTAATATAATAGTACTAGTAAAACTTAAAACAATATTTTGAATAAGATGATTATTGAAATGGATAATAATGTTCCATGTTCTACTTCTTTAACCTAAGAAAAGGTAAAAACCACAAATTTTCTAATCCAAAACATCAATGGTTTACACAAATCATCAACATTTGATCTTTCACGGTCATTATCTTTCACGTTTACAATGTTCATATATGTTTATCTTTATATTGTTATACACCATTTTCAAGCTCATAGATCACAAAATGATATCGTTATACATAAGAAAATAAGATAGAATCAGATAACTAAGGGTACAAATGGTTGTTATGATATAACAAATCTAGCATAATTGAATGGTTACATTACATTTCTCTATAAAGACAACATTGAACATTTAAAAAAACAAAAATTAAGGCTCCAACTGATTACCACTTAAGGAATACTTAATAGGAATAGAAATGATGAGGAACATGAATGAACAAAATAACAAGGAATCAACTATAAAGAATAACGCAGAGAATGAATGAAACAAAATATCAATATGAATGGTAACAATAACAAGAAACATGTATTTTTAAAATTAATAATATTAAAAATTATCCTTAAAACAATATTTAGGGGGAGGGGGTTATTGAGAGATGTATTTCTAAGAATTTTTAATTTTGTAAGAATCTGTATTAATGATTTATGAATTCTGACAATCTTACTAATATTTATTATTATTGGTTTGATAATTTTTAAATTTCATATAAAATCCATTATTATTCAAAAATTATGTGTTTTTATGATTCTATAAATCCATTAAAATCATTGTTATTGGGGTATATGTATTTAAACAGTTTAAGTCATGAAATAAAACTTTCAAAATATACTACTTATAAGTTATAACCCTTAGATTTTCAAAATCATTATAATAAATTATTTGGATAGATTTTCTAAATATACAAATTCTCTCAATATCTAACAATAACCTTTCTAAATTTAACAGTTCTATCAATTTTTAAAATCAAACAACTTTATTATTATCAAGCAACTATGTAAATTCATTTAAGCTGAAACAGATGAAATACATAACTACTTTTTCAATTTCAAAATGTGTTCTACACTTTAACGCCAATAAATGAAACTTTGGATTATCCCAATGAGCTGAAGTGAAAACAAAACAGATCCCACCGCAATCGGATTGGTACTGAAAAATAAGAGAGCAAAATAAGGGAACTTGTTTTGTTTGCTTCGAAAACCTACGCTCTTTGTTGTCTTTTTTGCTAATTTTTTTCTTATTCGTCTGTCTTCTCCATTTTTTTTTTGACCATCTGGTTTCTACTTCAGAAGTTCAGATATTATTGCCTTTTTCATTTTTTTTTTGTAAGTGACCAAATATATTTTTCATTTTGTAACCTTTTAAATCTCAGGATCATCTAAAGTTTCGGTGCATTGTATATTTATATGTGTGATTCATCGAAAAAATTCAGAAGCAATTTCAAATTAATAAAGTCACCTTAAACCTCGATAAAAAAATAGAAGTGTATATACTGAGGTACCCTAGTTCAAGCGGTGGTCTCTTTCACAAATGATCCTGATATGATTATGGAGGAGGTTGCTAGGAACTTGGACCAGGAAGCAGCTGGAAGAGCTTGTAGCTGAGGAGGAGCAGCTTGAACCTGAGGAAGCTTTGGAGGCTTTGGCTATACCAACTGGTCCAGTTACAAGGTCCAAACTAAGTTGCTCAACCAAGACATTGGAAGAGTACTTAGCCGTTTGAGTCGGCGAGTTCTGAAGACAAGCATTCCACCTTGGTTTGTTTGAGGCCCAACACTTGGGATAAAGAGCAAGTGGATTCTTAGTGTGCTCTTTTTCCCTGCCAAGGTTTTGTCCCTTTGGGTTTTCCTTGGTAGGTTTTTAATGAGGCCTAAGACCCACTTCCAAATCACCTCTCTTATCTTTGTTTGGGTCCGGCCCAACTCTTCTCCACTGCCAAATCTTGCCGCCCAGAAGAGTCTGTTCAAACTTCATTTATGTTTTGTTTCATTTTCGAGATTGACTGGAGCTTGTTCCAATCTCTCTCTCTCTCTCTCTCTCTCTCTCTCTCTCTCTCTCTCTCTCTCTCTCTCTCTCTCTCGTTTTCCTTTAAAACTCTGAACTCCTTTGTTTCTGGTATCAATCTTTTAATCAAAAACCCTTTTGTTTGTTTATCAAACTTCTTAGTGTGTAATATCTAAGATCTTTAGTTTTCTTAAGTGTGTCATATCTTTGAAGATCTATCCTTGTCCATCTCTTGGTGTGTAATATCCTGGAGATCAACAAGAGCCTTGTCCATCTCTTGGTGTGTAATATCCTTGAGATCAACAAGTTTGGTGTTGAGAGATCCTTCCGCAGATCTCTTGTTATAGCCATTCATCATCCCTTTCAATCCATCATCTCGCCAAGTCCTTTCCATCACTTCATCAACCATCACATCAATCCATCTTCCAACTTGCTTCAAAGTGCCGATCTATAATCAGGGGTCTATCAAGTGGTATCAGAGCCACTTTGAAGCTAAGTACTTCTCCTTTTATTGTTTTAATTTCGTTTTTGTTCATCATATCATTTGTGGCTGTTCATCTTCTAGATCTGGCGAGTTTTGTTACTGGAAATTGGTTTAATTATTTGCACAATTTTAAAACTATTGTCATAATTAATCCTGATCACTCTCATAGATCTATCCATCTACTATTTTTCCCATATTTTTAGAAATTGTTTGCATAATTTCTAAAATTATTTCTTGATCTTTTCCTTTGAACTCCTAACTGCCGAGTTCTTTCTGTTGTTTCAGGTACTATGGCGGATGGAAAGGAAGATGAAGAAGATTCGAACAAGAGTCTCAGTGAATCCCTTCTGGAACAATGAAGAAGCTCATGAGGGAAGAGTTTGAACGGAGGGAACAAATTAAGGCAGGAAAGCGCAAAGAGTCTAGAGATCACATCCATATCTCGGATGAGGAGGGGAGGAACGACCCTATGGCCGATGATGCAAGCCAATGCTTACTACAACAGTGGCCATTCCTCTCAAGGAAGCGGCGCCGCTCTAGAAGGCATCGCGATGATCCAGAAAATCTTGGAGGATACAAGATCCGGATTCCCCCTTTCCATGGCAACAACAATCCTGATGAGTACATGGACTGGGAGAAGAAGTGTGAGTTCAACTTCAACTTACACAACATATCCAACATCAACAGAGTCAAACTGGCGGTCTCTGAGTTCAATGACTATGCCCTAAGGTGGTGGGAACAAGTCGTGACCGCAAGAGAGATTGGTGGAGCTCTTGAGGTCTCTACCTGGGAAGAGATGACAAGGATCATGAGGCAGAGGTTCATACCTAGCTATTATCAGAGAGAGCTACATTCTAAGCTCAGGAGGCTCACTCAAGGGTCCAAAACAGTTGAAGAATACTTCCAGGAGATGGAAGTGATGTTACTAAGGGCTAATGTGATTGAGGACAGAGAAGCCACTATGTCCAGGTTCCTTGGAGGGCTCAACCGCGAGATCCAAGACATTGTGGAGATGCAAAACTGTGTGGGCTTGGAGTCTATGCTACACAAAGCAGTTCTGGCCGAAACAACTCAAGAGGAGGCGCCAACTCGCATGGAACTGATCAGCGCCGGCCTGTCTATGCCAGAGACTCCAAACCGGCTTTACACCAAAGTCAGAGCCAGAGGAGTCCCTTACAACCAAGACAAGGACAAGAACAAGTCCAGTACAACTCTGCTCCCAGAGCCCGCGAGCTTAAGTGCTTCAGATGTCAAGGCTTTGGACACTATGCCAATGAATGCCGCAACAAGAAGATCATGTTCATAAGAGATAATGGAGAAGTGGAGTCTGAGGAAGAAGTCTAGAGCCAGAGCAAGAGCCAGAGCCAGAGGAGTATGAGGCTGTGCCTGTCATGGGAAAGCTTCTGGTAGCCAGAAGACTCTTGAGCGCTCAAGTCCAAACACACAAGGAAGAGCAAAGAGAAAACCTATTCCATTCGCTGTCTTGTCCAGGAGAAGGTTTGCAGCTTAATCATTGATGGAGGCAGTTGCACTAATGTGGCTAGTGAGGCCATGGTTGAGAAGCTTGGTCTTGTGACTCAGAAACATCCTAAGCCATATCAGCTACAGTGGATCAATGAGACTGGAGATATGAGCGTGAAGGAGCAGGTGTCGTGCCACTATCTATAGGAAGCTATGAGGATGAGATTTTGTGTGATGTCCTGCCTATGGATGCTGGACACATCATTCTGGGAAGGCCATGGCAATCTGATAGGCGTGTGCATGATGGCTTTCACAAACAAGTACACCTTCCTTCACAAGGGGCGTAAGACCACTCTCATTCCCTTAACCCCTCAAGAGGTGTATGAAGATCAAGTTCAGTTGAGTGGCCAAAAGACTAAACCTCAAGCCAAGAAGGAGCCAACCAAATCCAACAAGTCCTTGAACTATCTGGCCAAATCCAAACAGGTTAAAAGTTCCATGTCTTCTGATAAGCCTTTTCTCTTATTATCTTTAAAGGATCATTTAACCTCTTGATTGATAATGCACCGGAGATTCCGAGTGAGATGTCCAAACTTTTACAGGATTTCCAGGATGTGTTTCCAGATGATTGTCCCAAGGGATTGCCACCAGTCAGAGGCATTGAGCATCAAATAGACTTTGTCCTGGATCCACTCTTCCAAACCGTCCAGCATACAGAACCAATCCTGTGAAACCAAAGAACTCCAGCGCCAAATTGATGAGCTTATGGATAAGGGTCACATCAGGGAAAGCATGAGTCCTTGTGCTGTTCCTGTTCTTCTTGTGCCCAAGAAAGATGGGAGTTGGCGCATGTGTGTGGACTGCAGAGCCATCAACAATATCACTGTAAAGTATCGACATCCTATCCCTAGACTTGATGATATGCTTGATGAGTTGCATGGTTCTAGCATTTTCTCTAAAATTGATTTAAAAAGTGGTTATCATCAGATTAGGATGAAAGAAGGTGATGAATGGAAAACTGCATTTAAAACTAAACATGGTCTTTATGAATGGCTTGTCATGCCATTTGGTCTCACTAATGCACCTAGTACATTCATGCGCTTAATGAACCATATCCTGAGAAACTTCATTGGTCATTTTGTTGTGGTTTACTTTGATGACATCTTGATTTACAGCAAGAACCTTGAAGAGCATCTAGATCACCTTGCATCTGTCCTGTCTGTGCTAAGAAAAGAAAATTGTTTGCCAATCTTAAGAAATGTACTTTTTGCACAGATAATGTGGTTTTTCTAGGCTTTGTTGTGAGTGCAGATGGAGTCAAGGTGGATGAAGAGAAAGTTGCAGCAATCAGAGAATGGCCAAGTCCTAAGACAGTGAGTGAAGTCAGAAGCTTCCATGGCCTAGCTGGGTTCTATAGGCGGTTTGTCCGTGATTTTAGTACCTTGGCCGCACCTTAACTGAAGTCATCAAGAAAGAAGTTGGATTCAAGTGGGAGAAAGCACAGGAGGATGCTTTCCAGCTCTCAAGGATCGCTTGACTAATGCCCCTGTTCTTATTTTACCTGACTTCTTGAAAACTTTTGAGATTGAATGTGATGCTTCAGGTATAGGCATTGGAGCTGTCTTGATGCAGGACAAGAAGCCAATTGCTTTCTTTAGTGAAAAGCTTGGAGGAGCCACTCTCAACTATCCAACCTATGACAAAGAACTCTATGCCTTGGTCCGCGCCTTACAAACTTGGCAACACTATCTCTGGCCAAAGGAGTTTGTCATCCACACAGACCATGAATCTCTCAAACATCTCAAGGGCCAACAGAAGCTCAACAAGAGGCATGCCAGGTGGGTTGAATTCATTGAGACATTCCCATATGTCATCAAGTACAAAAAAGGTAAGGACAATGTTGTAGCCGACGCATTGTCCAGGAGGTACACTCTTCTCTCAACTCTTGATGCTAAACTCTTGGGCTTTGAACAGATAAAAGACTTGTATGCTTCTGATTCTGATTTTGCTGAGATTATAAGTCTTGTTCTAAGTTTGCTTTTGGCCGATACTACAGACAAGATGGGTTTCTCTTCTATGAGAACCGTCTCTGTGTGCCTAATTGTTCTTTGAGGGATTTGTTTGTCAGGGAAGCACATGGAGGAGGCTTGATGGGACACTTTGGTGTGGCCAAAACACTTCAAGTCATGCGAGGCCGCACATGATCAGAGATGTGGAGAGGATTTGTTCTAGATGTGCAACTTGTAAACAATCCAAATCTAAGGTTCAACCTCACGGTTTGTACACTCCTCTCCCTATTCCATCTCATCCCTGGACTGATATATCCATGGATTTTGTGCTTGGATTGCCTAGGACTAGAACTGGAAAAGATTCTATCTTTGTGATAGTTGATAGGTTCTCAAAAATGGCTCATTTTGTAGCATGTCATAAACTGATGATGCATCTCATATAGCTGCTCTGTTCTTTAAAGAGATTGTTAGATTGCATGGCATGCCGCGCACCATTGTTTCTGATCGTGACACAAGTTCCTGAGTTATTTTTGGAAAACTTTGTGGTCTAAGTTGGGTACTAAGCTTTTGTTTTCTACTACTTGTCACCCTCAAACTGATGGCCAAACTGAAGTTGTTAATAGAACTCTTGGAACTTTGTTGCGCGCCTTGATTAAAAAGAATCTTAAAAGTTGGGATGAATGTTTGCCACATATTGAGTTTGCATATAACCATGCTGTGCATTCTGCTTCTAAGTTTTCTCCTTTTGAAATTGTTTATGGGTTTAAGCCCATCTCTCCTTTGGATTTGATGCCTTTGCCTTTGAGTGAAAGATTAAGCACAGATGGAAAGCACAAGGCAGAAACAGTCAGGAAGATCCATGAGCAAGCCAGAAGGAACATTGAGGCTAAAACCAAGCAGTATGCTCAACAAGCCAACAAGGGCCGAAAGGAAGTGATCTTTGAAGTGGGAGACAAGGTTTGGATCCATCTGCGCAAAGAGAGATTTCCGGCCGAGCGCAAATCCAAACTTATGCCAAGGATAGATGGACCATTTGAGATCACCAGAAGAATCAACAACAACTCCTACCAAATTGATCTTCAAGGTAAGTATAACATAAGTTCAGTTTTAATGTTACTGATCTTTCTCCTTTTCTTGCAGATGAACCAGATTTGAGGACAAATCCTTTTCAAGAGGGAGGGGATGATATGATCATGGAGGAGGTTGCTAGGAACTTGGACCAGGAAGCAGCTGGAGAGCTTGTAGCTGAGGAGGAGCAGCTTGAACCTGAGGAAGCTTTGGAGCTTTGACCTATACCAACTGGTCCAGTTACAAGGTCCCAAACTAAGTTGCTCAACCAAGACATTGGAAGAGTACTTAGCCGTTTGAGTCGGCAGATCTTGAAGACTTAAGCATTCCACTTGGTTTGTTTGAGGCCCAACACTTGGGATAAAGAGCAAGTGGTTCTTAGTGTGCTCTTTTTCCCTGCCAAGGTTTTGTCCCTTTGGGTTTTCCTTGATAGGTTTTTAATGAGGCCTAAGACCCACTTCCAAATCACCTCTCTTATCCTTTGTGCTTGGGTCCGGCCCAAAACTCTTCTCCACTGCCAAATCTTGCCGCCCAGAAGAGTCTCTATGTTCAAACTTGCATTTATGTTTTGTTTCATTTTCGAGATTATGGAGCTTGTTCCAATCTCTCTCTCTCTCTCTCTCTCTCTCTCTCTCTCTCTCTCTCGTTTTCCTTTAAAACTCTGAACTCCTTTGTTTCTGGTTATCAAACTTTTAATCTAAAAACCTCTTTTGTTTGTTTACTCAAACTTCTTAGTGTGTAATATCTAAGATCCTTAGTGTTCTTAGGGTGTGTCATATCCTTAAGAATTCTATCTCTTGTTCTTCTTCTGGTGCGTCATATCCTGGAGAAGTCAAGCCTTGTCCATCTCTTGGTGTGTAATATCCTTGAGATCAACAAGTCTGGTGTTGAGAGATCCTTCCACAGATCTCTTGTTATAGCCATTCGATCATCCCCTTTCAATCCATCATCTCGTTCAACTCCTTTCCATCGCTTCATCAAACCATCACTCATCAATCCATCTTCTAATCTTGCTTCAAAGTGCCGATCTATAATCAGGGGTCTATTAGATCCAATCCACTATTCTTTTCAAACATTACATTTCCAATTTCATAGCTTTTTAATTATGTAAATAATTCATTTTTGTTGATCAATAAATTTAAACTTTGACAAAAAAAAAATAGCGTTATGTTGTGTACATCCACTTCATGAAATTTATGGCAGAGCTACAAACAGCTAGGAAATAGACAAATAGTAGATGTGTTGTGAACTAAACAAAAATACATCTCGTAGACTCGTACACCGGTTCTGTTGTAGTTGTTTGTGAAGGAGTATACTGTATGTGAATTCTTAACTCGAGAAGAGACACTTTTTGTAAAACAGAGAAAGTTACACTTTTTGTAAAACAGAGAAAGTTTATGTGAATTCTTATGTTAGGTTTCTACATATTCGACTCATTCCCATAACATTTGATTGACGAGAGAGAATATTCTATACTGATAAATACATTTGAACAAAACTGTTAAATTACCACGTCTATTTCGAATACTAACTTTCGGAAATATTTGGTCGCTATTTTTTTGTTTAATGTTAAGATTTTGGTCGCTATCTTTATAAAGTATGGGAGAGAGTCATTGGTAAAACGATTTTTAAGGTGTTACACCCGATTATTCTTGTTGTGATTTTTCATTCCATGAAAACAATCTCAAACCCTTATTTCAAAAGAGAAAAAAACAATATCAGAAAACCACGTTCACACTTCACATAATCTTCGTTCATTGAAAAAATGTGTTGTGCTGGTAAGAAAAGGTGTTGTGAAGAGGCAACAAAAACTCAAATAATGTTAAAATGAGGAGCTAGAGAGGGCACAAGCACCAAAACGGCGGCAGAAATGGGACCGCACGTGAGATGGACCTACATGTGCGGGACCCAGTGTGGCTACTGGCTAATGTGTGTTCTTTTTTTTCTTCTTTTTCGAACTCATGACTTTTGCTCTGACTTTTTCGACAACTTCGACGGACAGTCAAGTTTTTGCTGTCATGTTTTCCGCATTTGAGATCCCTAAGCCTTTTTTTAATCACATAATTAAAAGACTTAATAACATTTGCACTTTCTTCTACTTATGCTGTCTCATCGAATTGGAACTGCAAAATAACGATCAAAAGCTAGAAGAGTGTTTCTAGTTCGAATTAGATGCACATCCCATCAAGATATGGTTGATATGTATGAATTGAAAAAAGAGATTTCGTTACAGTTCCAGATGTAAAATTAGATTCCAAGTAACCTATGAGTAAAAGTAAAACATTGATTATCCCATGGAACATTGTATATATTTTAATCATGTACTGTTTCTATAGATTTTTAAAGATTCAGTTTTCTTGTTCTCAGCGCAAAATTATATACATATATAAAGCATACGTACGTGTGAGTGTGGGTGTAACACTGTTGAATAAAATATATGTGGTTAATTTTCGAAGCAACTAACTTTAAGTACAATTGAAGGTATCTTAAACCAAATATTTACTAGATCTTCCTTTTGCTGTTCATTGAACTAATTAAATATGGAGTCAGGGAGACCAAATTATGACGAAATTCATGTAGATACGATGGACTATAAATATTTAGTCCTTTTTTTGTCTTGCAGGAAAAATTCCGTTGGATTAGAGGAATTTTTGATTTTTTTTGTTGGTAAACTGTTAAATTTCCTTGACACTTTAAATATTAAAAGAAAATTCAATTTCCTTGGTTATGTTTACTATCTTACAAGAAAATTAGAGAAAAAAACAATAGAAAAATAACCACTAGTTTAGTGGAAGCTTTTGAAGCTATAACTTAGCTAACAGTAGCACAAAAGTTAGCTAACAAGAAAATTCAACTTTCATTACTAGATACCAAATGTAAACAAAAAATTCAAAAAATATTTATCAAGCTAGGAAACCCAATTCAACAGAAAAGTAATTTCCATTAAAGAAAATGCTATAGACATTAGCTTAACCCTTAAAATGTTAAATCAGATGTAAGCAAGTATACACTCATTTCCAACATTTAGTCATATTCAAAAAATTTTAGCTTTTGTTAGGTATCTCGAATGATATGGCAGTTTCTTTGACTAAAAATATACAACTTACAACCCTGCCAAATAAATCCAAATGCCACTTTGAGATACATCTTAAAACTTGGAAATAGTTTGTCAACCACAAGATTAAAACCAAAAATACAGGGAAAAAAAGGATTGAGAATAATAGGGAAGAAAAGAGAACAAAGGACAGAAAATAAAATTAGGAATTTAGAATCAAAACAAAGGCCACCCTACTACTCCTTCAATGCCTTCAAGCGAAGATGCTGAGAGGACCGGTGTTAGTAGAAGCGTCTATACCGTTTTCACCATTCCTGATCCCGGTTATCCACGTCCTACACAAAAGTCAAAAAAAAAACAAACCGAAATCGGTATTCCAATCATTACATAAACAAAACCATAATAAGCTTGAGACTTTGAGAGGGACTTACTTTCTCACATTGTCTCCACCAATATCCATCTTAATCGTTAGCCGCTTTGTCACTCTCATAAAATCACTGCATTTTAAACCGGAATTTCAATCAATGAACAAAACCGTAAACTAAACCGTCACTATACAATTCAACCGGAAACATACCTGAAAGGTTCGTCGCCAATGCGTTTGATAACACCATTTGCGTCTCGGTACACAACATGGGTCAACAAATCCGACCTCTCTTCAATACGAAACATCTCGGCTAATTTCCGGTACAACTCTTGGTACGAGCCAATAACCGAAAGATCGAGCGTTCGTCCAACATCCTCAGAGTCCATGAACACTTTACAATGACCGGTCTCGAGTCCCTCCAAACCGTAATTCCATGTTAACCCACTAGCCGCCGCCGAACCGGAACCCGAACCTTTCTCCTCGGCCACCACCGCCTCTTCTTCCAAAGACCGTTTCAAAACTTGCTGTTCGGTTAGAATCGGTTGACCGAACAGCAAAAACTGGTGAGTCTTAACCGAACCGGACTTCTTCTTGTCCCCAACTAAACCGGGATTACCCATCGTTAAAGAACAAGAAATGTTATTGTTGTTGTGATTACTCTCTGTGACTGTACGGGACATGATGTTATCGTAACGATGCCTCTGGTTAAAACCGGAGAGAAACATCGCCGGAGAAGAAGACTTGTTGTTACCGGAGTAACTACTGAGTTTGAGATCAGACAACAAAGACGGAGACGTTGATCCGAAGAGTTGTTGAGCTTGCCTGGCTCCCTGTATACCTGCAGGAGCGTTGTTGTTGTTGTTGTCGTTTGATGACAGATAACACATGGATTCGCCATTGTTGGTGAATCCAGGGGTGAAGATCGGGAATTTGTTGCCGTCGAAAGGGAAATCGAACGGCTGTGGAATCCGAATCTTCTTCCTCGGAGAGAATGGTGAAAGATGGATCGTTGGCATGTTCGATACCAATTCGACTAACCACGGACTTACGCGTTTCACGTTTTGCAGCAAATCCGGTTCGTCCCAAGCTACCTATAATCAAACCGCAACATTTTAGCGTTTTCTAGCGTTTTTGGGATTTTGTGTTGAGGGAAAGAGACTTTTTTTATTTTTTACCTGGAGGAGACGCCATGGGGAATTAGGCCAACGGATTGGATCGGCGACTTGAACGGCGGAGATTGTTCCCATGAACCAACTGATTCTTGAAGAGTCCTCTGTTTCAAACGCCATTTTAAAACGCATACCGCTGCACCACCTTATCCTCATGGCTGATCTCACGTCAGCTGCTTTGACGCAAAACTCCGGCGTGCTCGCGCGTGGGTAGTAAACCACCTCGAACGCTTGTCCACGCGCCGCACGCGCCACCGCTTCCGCTACTGCTTCCACTCTGACTCTCCCTCCAGGAACGGCGTTTGCCTCGTTTCCGTTGCGTTTCATCATCATTAGCTTTGTTGTTGTTGTTGTTTCGTCGTCGCGGAGGAAGCCTGAGAATCCGGGGTAAGGGCTGTTGGTTTCGGATCCTAAGCCAGTAGATCCGAGACCGCCGCGTTTGGCGCGGCGAATTCCGACGCAGAGGTCGCCGGATTCTGAGCGGAGGAAGACGATTGAGTCGCCGGCGATTAGTTTCTTCTGGTTGACGAAAGTGCTCCAGCCGGTGGTGAGAAGATGACGGCGAGGCGTTCCTCTGTAGATATGCCGGAATTTCCAAGTCTCGCCGTGGATGTCTTTGGCGATCACGGTCTGCACCGGAGGCTCAGCCGTGTAATCAAGCCGCGGGAAAATCGTCTCGGCGCAGTAACGCGGAACGGAGAAACCGCCGCCGTTGTTAGCGTCTGACTGCGTCAGCGTTTTGGCGAAAGACGCCGGTTTGTCGTTACCGCTACCGTTATTACCGTCAGGAGACGGAGTTAGACCCAGAACGGCGTCGTTTTCGAGATCCAAGTCGTTTCCCGGTAGTGGCAGAAGCGTGATTTTGGCGAAGACTTCGTCCGTCTCTGCGTCGGCTAGGAACTTGACGGCGACGACGCGGCAGAGGATCAAAGGCGGGACGTGCGGCGCGTGGAAATCGTGAGGCGCGTGAGCGTGTTCGATATGGCCTTGAGCGAAGTAGAAGACCGTTGAATTGACTGAAGGGATTTGAACCATTGATCCTGCACAAGCATGCCATAGTTGTGGATCCAAGCTTTTCTCTTGCTCCATTATTATTTTCCGTAGAAGAAAAACAGAGGAGAGGTTTTTAAAAATCAAAATTCAAGTGTTGTGTGAAATTAAGGAAGACGAAAGAAGAAAAAAAACGCTGCAGAGAAGAAAGATCAGTCGTTTCGACTTCCTTTACGGAATTAAGTTTTCTTCAATACATGAAAATCAAGCTCGTCTCTTTCAGGCACGGATTTAAAACCAGAGGAGAAGCAAACAAGAAGAAGGAGAGAGAGAGAGAGAGAGAGAGAGAGAGAGAGAGAAAACCGTTCCAGGGGAAATATAGAAAGGGAAGTGAAAGAGAGAGACAGAGATAGAGAGAGAGATTTGTGTTAAGTGTTAAATTTGCAGAGGAAAAAGCAAAGCTTTCTTTTCGATTTTCACTTCAAAAGAGGTATCATAGTGAAGGGGGAAAAAGCTTTTAATGGCCGATCAGATCGCAGAAGAAGCAATAATCAGGTACGGACAAGACCACACTCATTTATTAAACACTCGTTTTTTTCTTGTATGTATGTATTACAGAACAAGAACCAAACAACCCGAGAAATTATCTCAACATAAACTTTTTTTTTTTATGTCTGTCAAATATAATATTAAAATTCGAATGTATTTCTTATATATATTAAAAAAACTGTTTGAAAAAAACCTGCAACTAACTTGTTTGTTTGTTTCATTTGCCTACTCTCAGTAATCAGGTTCAGAACAAGTGTGTTTTATAAAATTAGCAATTTATCGTTTCACGAGATTAGATGTTTGTTTGTTTGTTTGTTTATCCGCGATATTATGACGCCAACAAATTTTACTCTAAAAATCAGAAACCATTATTGACCAGACACAAACCTAACCATGGTTAATCCATTTTGATTTCCTCTGTATTTTTTTCCCCTGTTTTTAGTTTTTTTTTACCTTTGTCTTTTACTCGTCTCAAAGTTTTGTCCCATAATACGATTGAGGTAAACAGAAAAAAGAAATATATGCTAGTTAAAACTTAAAACCCATGGTAAAATGAATAGTACATATTACTGTATCTAGGGTAAAAAACAGATATGTTAATTGGTGGATGTCTAATTACTTTTTATCAGTGAAGACTGAACTCTGAAGACAAAGTAAATATTTTGTCATTCAGATCTTCCCTTTTTTAACTGTCACAGGACGAGTGATTTCTTTTTTCGGTAACATGTATTTCGTGAATCTCTAATTTATCAAATAAAAATCTCTAACAGAATTAAATTATAAACTCAAAATTTAAAACGTTTTTTTTAAACGCCCAAACTAACATATTGATTACATATATCCATATCCTCATTGCTATTTTGTTTTTTATTAGCATTCCATTTGATGTAATTGAGTGTGAAACTTGACGTTAAACTTAAACCATACAAATGAGTGACTAAACAATTTAGTTTTATAAGAAAGTTAATTGCACTTTTACAAAAAAGAAAAAAAATATATAATTGCGACAAAGATGTTGAGAAGAAGAAGTATATTATTATTATTACTACAGAGATTTATCAGAAATGATTCGAGATCAATTGATCTATGATCCACCACATTCATAACAGATGTTACGAGTTGTGTTAATGACGTCATAAATTAGAAGACAAACAAGCGTACGTGTGAGAGTGGAAAAGCGAGTAGGGAGGGTGGTTGACCCGAAGATGAATACGCGGCTGTTAAAACGGATTTTTTTGAGTTTAGTTGAAGTTGTTTTGTACTCTTCGATTGTTTTGTCGGGCTTACATCGCCCAATTATAACCTGACACGAGTCATGACATACCCCAAGCTGGTCCTTTTTTCTCCACTTAGGACAGGTCTGTATTAATAATTTTATTTAATCCATTAATAACTTTTAAATTATCAAATCTTCTGCAATTTTGTTTTTTTATGTAATTAGAAAAATAATTGATTATTTCCTCCTTATATTTTTTATAAGATTGTACATTTTGTTAAGTAAAATAATAACAAAACAATTGAAAAGGAAAAAATGTGGGTTATATTAAATTTGAAGTATAATTCATAGATCATTTTTGCAACTATCTAATAATTTTACTTCATTAAAATACTAATTTATTTCATTTCAGTAAAAAATGTTTGTTTATTTATGTAATATTCTATGAAGATTTGTAAGAATCTCTAAAACCTTTTATAAATTTTGATAGTTACTTTCATAATTAGCAACTATCTGCATAAAAATTAGTACATATTTCGCATAGCACGCTGATTTAAAATTTTAATATATTATTATGTTGTGTTAAAATTTCGCCAAAATTCATAGTCAATTTCGGTGACAGATCTCGAATATAATTTAAATTTATAGACTTCTTTTGAAGAGAAGCCAAATTATGCACATTGTTGTTATTAAATTTATTCTTCCTTCTTGATCTATTCTTTAATCTATATTTCTTTGTTTTATTCTTATTAGATCTCTTTGTGCTTTAATTTCTTTTATTTATTTTTTGTTCTTAGTCGGTATCTTCTTTTTCTTTGTGTCATTCTTATTCGATTTCTTTTTCATATTCACTTATCTACATTGGTCTTCTACTTTGCTATTTTTCTTCTTCACTCGTCTTGCTTCCTATTTTTCGTTCTTGTCTGGTTTCTTCTATTTCGTTCTTATTTGATTTTTTGTTTCCTTTTCAGTTTCATCTTCATGGTTTCTTATTAGTTTTTTTCGTATTCACCTATGTTCTTTTTTTGGCTTTTTTTGTCTTCCTAAATCCTACTTTAGTATCTCCATCTTGGCTGTTTTTCGGTTTCATCTTCACGGTTTCTTATTCGTTATGCTCTCGAACAAAACTTCTGTTTTGATGATGCAACTTTAAATGTTTCCTCAGAAAAATATGGTATGAATTGGATTATCAATCTCCTCTTTTCCATAGCAATGTATAATGTTTACTTCTTTGGCCATTATTGTTAAAACTTTTGCGATGAAGAAAGTGTTATCTAATGTGCTAAATGCATATTTTGCTTCCATTAATGTAATGATGGCACTCGCAAAGCTGATCTTTCTCATCATCTAAAGACACTACATATGAACTAAAATGTCTTCTACATGACATTAGGCATTTTTTATCTTATTTTATTTTATTTATAAAATGTTATACATGTTAAGGTAGTTTCTTTTTTGTTAGTATTAAAATATATAATTTTTTATTTTATAAACTCTTTAATACAAAAAAAAATATTCTTGAATTAGGAAACTTTTTGAAAAATAAAACAAAAAATAACTAAATATAAAATCACCATTGCAAAATATAAATATTCATACAATTTTTAAACCAAAAAAAATTCATACTTTTTTTTTACAAAAGTTCTCGCTAATATCTCGCTTTAGTATTATGTATGTAGATAAGAAATTTGGTACTTTTCACTACACAAACATTCAACAGAAGACTTAAGTAACATGGACTACATTTACTTCTAATGACCTTACATAAAACGAAGTAATTATTTTTTTTTGTCGACTTGTATTTATTAGTTAAAACTTAAAAGAGAAAATTATATAAATTCCAGTTTGAAATTTAAATAATCATCATTTAAGTTCGTTTTCAAAGAATGACCAAACAAAGTTGAAAAAATGGAACGAGCAAACAAAAAATATTAATTAGAGGAAGAAAACAAAGGGATCAATTAATGCATGACTTCTGCAAAAACATAAAATTATCGACAAGACACCCAGTTTCTTTGTCTTTTTGGTTTGTAGTGTATTTGGGCCATATAGGGTCTAAATGGTAACTGCAGAATGTTGCTGAATGTTGCGGAATGCGGAATCTGGCAGAATAAAATGATGATTTTTTGCAGAATCTGGCTGAATAATTAGTGATATGAATGGTAACAGCTGAATGTTGCTGAATGTTGCTGAATGCAGAATAAGTAAATAAAAAAAATTATATAAGAAAATAACAAAATATTTACTCTGCAATTGATGAAATAAAATATATAGTTATGAAATAATTATATACAATATTTAATCAAACAAATTATAAACATATGTCAAATATTTAAATTTGGAATCATATTATTACACATAAAAAAATACATTTAAAATATAATTTTATTTTAACAATTCATTAATGAAAATTATCCCATATTTGCTGTTTTATTCCTTCTCGTATTGCTTGCATATAAGCACCATCTGTTGTTTCCTCTTGTTCTTGCAAATAGTTTACTTCTTCGTTCTCTCCACCTTCTCCATTTTATTAAACTGTTCTCTTGGAATTGCGTCAACATGTAAAGCATCATCAAAATCAAAATCTTGAATTTGAGAAAGACGAATGAAGTTATGCAATCCAGCTGTGCTATGATTATATTGTTTTGTGTTCCAGATCATATCTCGGAAACTCTGATAAAATTCTCCATTTTTTCTTCCAAACTCCAAATGTTCGTTCGATCACTGAGCGGAGAGAAGAATGCCATCTATTAAATAACTCTTCTTCATCTCTAGGTGGAGAGCCTACTTGAAAATGTGGCAAATGATACCTATGACCTCTAAATGGAGCTAAATATCCTCTTGTGTTAGCATAACCAGAATCAACAAGATAGTACTTGGATGGCGGAGGAGTCGGAAAAGTTGAATCACGCTCCATTGCATAAGACAAAACTCTAGCATCATGTACTGATCCAGGACAGCCTACAAATATGTAAGTGAATAACATATCATAGTTGCATATCGCCAAAACATTAATGCTTGTTTGGGAATGCCTGTTGTAAAATCGAGCTGCCTCGCCACCAGTCACCATGACCGTACAATGAGTGCCATCCATTGCTCCAATAAAACCATTAAAATAAGGCCAGTATTGAGATTATCTCGTAAACCTCGAGGTACTTGTCGAGTTGCTCTGGAGACTGCTTTCTTAATAATTTTCCACTTAGTTTCTGCATGCTTTAAGACATTCTTGAAACTTGCGTCCAACTGTTTCTTGTGCTCGTCCGAATAAGAGCCCAACCGAATGTTGTGTCATGTTATGACCACATATCACGAGAAACATTGCCACTGTTTCTTCTACCGATATTTTTTTGTGTTTTCACTCCAAAATCTGCAGTGTGTCTCACATAGACGTGTAAAGACCTCTGCGCATCCTCAAAAGATGTAAGCAATCTCTTGGATAGTTATAAATTCTTGTTTTTATGTTGCTCCATCCTAAACCCCATTCAGCTCCCATTGGTTGTCGATTATAATACATTTTGTAGTAATCTATCACAGGCCTGAAGAGTAGCTTCCATGATATCCATGTGCTCCAGAAAAATTAGTTCAAGTAGCTCATCATTTGTGAGGTTATGTAATCCACGTGAATATAACTCGATAATGCGAGAAACCTGAAGATAAATAAAATTCATTAATTAACACTTAAAACATCAAAAATAATAGTACTTCAGAAAACAATTATATAATACATATTAAACATTTAAAATTAAAAGACTATTTTACTAGTTGTCTCCATCATTATCATTGTTTCCAACGTGTGCGATTGAAATCAGACAAATTGAAACGTCCAAGTAACTCGGATGCAGACGCAGGTCTATATGCAAAACCTTCATCAGAGCAACTCTTGGATTTAAACTCATCAAACTGTGGGTTAGAGTTTGGAACTTGAAATCCTTGTCTTCTTCTGAATTGGTTCGGAGAACCGGAACTTACAAATTGTGAAAACCCTCCCAAGTTTGAAGTACCATCACCTGCCAAAATTTGAAGTTCCTCCGATGTTGAAATTTCCAGCATTACTGAATTGTGAAAACCCTCCTACGCCAGGAGAACCAGATCCACTACCAAATGATCCTCTACTACTTGGCCCGCTAGAACCACTAAGTTGACGTTTCCACGGACTACCCCGAAAAGTGCCACTTCGATCATAACCTGTCACCCCTTCGAGAAAACGAATTCTCTCTTCGTTATTTTTTAAGCACAAACCTCTTTTGCTCGAACGGGTCTCTTAAAATCTCCGATGATGCCCACCAAAAATCTGTAAATTTTTCTATGCCTTGTAATTCATTTAGTTGCAACCAAGATTCACGCTCATAATCTTCATTCGCTTGGCTACGTGCATTGAGCATCTGGATTGGAGTTTGCATAGTTGCAAGATATGACTCAATATTTGTTAGATGTGTGTCCATAACAGCTCTTCTTCGCGGGGTTTGTGTTGTCTGTCGGCTGGATTGGTTTCGTCCTCTATTAGTAGTTCTACCACCTCTGTTACCATGTTGCCTAGATCGTCGGTTATGTGTAGGTATCTCAATCGGCACTGATGGCTGATTTTCCATTGGTTGTTGTGGTTCCTGATTCCGGTACACCATAAGTGAAGCCTTCTTCATTATTATCATCATCATCTTCTCAAACTCTTGTTCTTCTTCGTCATCGTCACTTTCACATTTCATCTATTTGACTTGCTGAAACCATATTGTCATTCACAGCACAATGAGGACCGTACACCTTATGCATCAACTCTATGCATGGTAGAGGATTTTTTCTTAATCTTGATGCTCCTTCGGTATCCTACAAAATATACATGGTAAAAGTTTTAAAAAAAATTAAAACTATTTTTCTTTAAAATACAAATATGAAGTCAATTCTTGAAAGAAATAATCATACCTTTACTCGATCTTTCCACCAACTTGTATCCATAATTATTCTTCCGGTTTCGCGATCAATATTTGTACCAGTACGACGAACAAGTCTTTGATATACGGCATACAATGTTCTAAAATCATCATGTTTACTCTTACATTTATCCCAATCAATTCTATGCCCTGTTTGCTCGCAGAACTTCCTTACTATATTGTTTTTACCCTCTTTATATGGTAAAGTTGAGATATAATTTATTTTTTGCAATTCTTCATCTAATAATTCAATGAATAAGGAGTTTAATTCGGGGACCATCTAGAAAAAGTCTACAATTATAAAATTAAAAACATAATTAATTAATTGTTTATAAATAATACATTAAAAACTCAAAATCATTCAAATAATATTACCGCATTGTTTTGGTTTGATGGTCCAGCACCTGTGTTTCCCGCACCGCTCATTTTTGTTCTGATAAATAAACAAATCCACATGAAAAGAAACAATTCAGCAATTTGTACTTTAGTATTTTTTTAAAATACAGAAAATTAGAAAATAGTCCATTTAAAAAAAACTGTATAAATTTACATCCCCATATTTCGATATTTTATTTCTTCATGGTAATAAGAAATATCTATTAATACATATTAATAATCTTTTTTTTTTAAGATTTAACACAATTTTTGTTTTTTAAAAAACCACATACGTTCTAATAGAAAAAAGAAAAATCTTAATAATAATTTGAGCATATAAACATATATAATATATATACCAATACATTTCTAATATAAAATTATATTTTTTATCAGGTTTCATAAGTTTTTAAAATTTGCACCATTTTATATGAAAATAAAATCACTTACTTCTTTTAAAATTTAATTAGAATGATAGTTAGTTTTAAAAATATTTAAAATTTTGTTACTTATCTATACACTGTTTTCTGTAAATAAAAAAGCATCAACATTAAAAGTAATTAAAAGTTTATTTTTACTTTAATATAAAATCTGGGATTAGTTTTTTTAATAAATATAGTTGAAAATGTTTGTTATAATTATATATAAACATGAACTTTGAAGAAGAAAAGAACTTACTAGTTTGAAGTCTCTGGTGAAGAAATAGAGTGAATAAGTGAGAGTGAACAAGTGAAAAAATAGAGTGAACGAAGTGAAGAAATAGTTTAAACTTGTACTACGAAGTAATAGAGTGAACAACTGATATGGCTTCAAGAACATAGAGTTCTTCTTTTATAAACGCAACTAAAATACATCCGTGAACCTTTTTTGTTTTTTTGTTTTTTGTTTTTTCCAATTATAGATCTTGATTCTCTCAATTTCTTATTTATAGAAATTAATAAAACAAGAAGAAACTGTAGTATTGTGTCTTTTTGTGCATTTATTGATATTATTGTGTTCTGTTTCTTTTTCTGTAAATGAATTGGGTCCCACCTGTCTTCATTTCTTTTTTTTTGGACAACGAATTTTAAACTATTCTGCACTTATTCTACATATGTAACTGGTAACATCTTTTAGAAATTAATCTGAATTCATCCAGATTCTTCAATTAATCTGTTACCATTTACACCCATACTTTTTCTTCTTATCTTGAATACACACATTGATATATACATATAAACGTGTATATAAAATGCATACGTAATTAGTAATAATGTGGAATTGACATGGCCAAAAAGATGCAACACAAAATTAGAATGATAAATGATGTTGTTGGTGGGTTGTCTTGCATAAAGATTTATGAATGGTCCTTTGATCCTTTCCTATCTTAAACTCTTCTCTCGTTTTTTTTTTCTTTTCTTTTTTCCTTCTGTAAAATCTTAAACTCTTCTACCCAAACTCTACACCTTAGCTTTCTTGATTTGTGCTTAATAGTCTTCTTATTTTCTAAGTTTCTGCCGAAAGAAAAGTTTAAATTTCTCTCTTTAGATATACTTTTTTCTTTACCTTAAAACCAAGTTTGTAGAAAAGGCTTTTTTAGGGATTGATTGGGAAATGTAAAATAAATAGGAATTAAATCTCAAATGGTTCGACTTCGACGTTTACGTATACATTTCTCAGAGATAATACATTAGACACTGAATCTATTTTTATAATATATGATATATACTATAGGTAGACCTGCAAAGCAATTTGTACTACCACAATCTTGTTGGATTCAAAAGTACACAACAATACTAAGAATATATGTAGCATTCAAATTTTTTTGTCAACCTACTATTCAAAAATCTTTCTAGACAAACGTATCCATTATTAAAAGTAAATTTAGCAAGATATGTACTAGTTTTATAATATATACTATATTTGATGTCATACTATTCTTGTCGCAGAAGATGCTAATTTTAACAGCTTAACTTCAAACTAATGTTGAGTTATATAGTTGTGTTAGAATTGCTAACATATATTGGCTGCTATACCCCCCACATAGTGCATATGTCAAAAGCTATTTCAAACTATTTTCAACCATGTATGATCATGTTTCAATATTAAATTTTACCCCCCCCCCCAAAAAAGTTTCAACACTAACAAGTTGTAATCATTCTCTTACTTGAAGTCTTTAGAGAGAGAGAGAGAGATAGATGAGAGAGATGGATGAAAGACATGAGATGTGACAAAAGGGAAGATGGTTGTAGTTAAGTTGTTGTGTCACTGTCCGCCAAACCTTCCAAATCAAACAGAAGCGTCACTGCTCAGACAACCAAACCAAACCACCCAAACGTCCCTTTCGATGTTTCACCATCGAAACTGCTTAAACCCACCATTAACTTCTCCTTCCTCCCCGTTTTAAATTTTATTTCCCAACCAAACAACCTTCTGACTCCATCTTTAAGAATTACAGAATTTCGGTACTCGTACTCCATCTAAAATAGAGTTTATGTAGGTAAGTAGGTTACGCGGCTTCTTGTAAGAATTTAAATTCAAGTAGTTAAATACATAATCTTTTTTTCCAAAATATTTAAATTTTCAAAGCTGTTCAAACAATATAGAGTTCAAAAATGTATTATCAGTTGATTTTAAACTTCAAAAAGTAGTATTATATGTTCAATTTCTCTTATGTAAGTTTTTATGTAGGTTATATTATATGTAAATAAGTCAAAAGGTTATATGTAAATATTATCAAAACTATAAAAAAAATTAACCATGTAATATATGGATAATGTAAAATATATATTTCTGGTTATGTAAAACTAACCAATTTCTCTTATGTAAGTTTTATATATAATTATATGTAAATATTGTCAAAACTAACCATGTAATATATGGATAATGTAAAACATATATATTTCTGAGTTTGATAATGCGAGTACAAGATAGATAAACAAAAACTGATATTCCATATTTAGCATTACCGACAAATAATAGAATTATGATAAACATACCCAATTCGAAAGTTCCATATACTCTTTTTCTTTGTGAAATTGTGAATTTGAGTTGGGTAACGGGTAATGGATATTCATATTTGTAGCCAGTCTTACCTCACAATTCCTATCTTGGTCGACAAATTTCGTACGAAACAAAGTAAATGTTTCTGAGGGCCATTACATTAAATTGGAATTTTGAAACCCTTCCCTAAATGTTTAACCTTTTTTTTGATAAAGCAAAATGTTTAACCTTCGTCATTTATGTTTATGCAAATGAAAACAAGAGACATATCAAACCATAGAATAAAAGCTAAAGCATGCATAGGAAAAAGATAAATGAACTGCATGTGCATAGTCGTGACCACCCTTTAGAAAAAATGTTAATTTTTATTACTTAAAGTCACTTTACATAAATCAGTGGTAGAAAATTCGTATATAAATTACTTACATCATAAAGATGTGTCAATATCTTAAGATATTAGATATATCAAGAAAATATCAAAATTTCGAAACTATAACAGATTAATATGTTTTACATTTTACATGAACATAAAATATTTAAATTTCACACAAGACGAAAATGTCTTTTGGGACACTGAAAAAAGGAAGGAAAAAAAAAACTATGGCCCTCTCGACCAAAAAATAACGTCGCTTATAAATAAAAAGTGGGCCAAAAGAAAAATAGTTTGGGCCCAAACGAAAAAGACATATCGAAGCTAAATTGCGCCAGACGCGTAATTAAAACAAACACTCGACGACTCGTTAACTTACGCTCGTGACAGCTAGAGACAACTAAAACTGAAATCGCTTTTAGAGAGTCGAGTGGGTCTGTTTATGTACGAAAGTTGACCTGTTGTTTGTTGCTGATCTGGCACATATCTGATGTACACGTGGCATCATCATGACGGCTAAAGTTTTGTCGCCCACGTTATGTCCTTTCTCTCATTACCCTATTAGCTGAAACATGATTGGCCAACTGCTGCCATTTATATCTTTTACATTTTTTTATTTGTCAACTCATTTCTTGATTTTTTTTTTTGTTTTTGTTTCACAACCAGTGATGATTAAAAAGTGTTTGTTTAGTGTAGAAAAATAATGCATCTATAGTTATATATTAACTTATTTTTAAATTTGTGTGGAAAATCTTTAAAATTAAACCTTACATTTTCTGTCAATATCATAAACCAATTTATGCAGACATAATATTTGTATTTTTTGTATTTATATTGTAAGTTTTAAAAAACAATAGTGTTATCGCGTGAAAGTGAAACCTGTCTAATAGTTTCTCAAAAACAAATAATTGAAGATAAGTTGGGTCGTATAAATAATTGATGTTTTTCCCTCCAATGATGTTTTTGTTTTCACTCAACTCTTAAATGATTTTGTTTTTTTGTCCATTAACAACTAAAAAAAAAAAGAAAAAGAAAAATAGAAGATACTGGAAGAGGACAAAAGTGGGAAGAGATGTAAGTAAGTGGGGGAGTGAAGAGACCCCACAAGAAGAGAAAGACAACGGAGTCTGAGGAATCTGTGTCGTTATGTCTTCAGATTCAGATGACACCTTCTGTTTCATTTGTCTTTTCTTCATCTCTCTCTCTCTCTCTCTCTCTCTCTCTCTCTTTTTTTTTTTTTTTTTTTTTTTTTTTTTTTTTTTAATTTGTTCTCTTTTACTAATTTATATAAGTCTTCGTTACTCATTATTCTTCTCTTTACCTTAAAACTTCGTATAGTTGAAAAAGAATAATAACTCATTTGACATAAGTTCAGTTTAATAAGACTATAGATTTGAATGATGATTCGTACGAAGGCAAAAAAAGAAGAATATGAATTTTCTAACTTTGTTTCTATTTCTTAATTGTTTTGGACGCAAGTTACATTGGTTTAGCAACTACCTTACAAATGAGTAACCAACACGTGTTGCCTATTATTGGTTTTGTACTGTGAACTGATTTTGTAGGATCAGAGAATCGTCTCTTATCCTTTGTGTTTGCAATGGATTGCGATTCTGTTTGTCAACACACACGCTTGTATGGGTACAATGGTACGATGCTGATCTCTTGCTGGGCTTTGTTGCCTGTGTTGAGCCCAACTCTTTTCTATAAACTGCAAGCCCCAAAGGTTCTGGAAAATGGCCGAAAATACTCACTCATGTAGTCATATGTTAGTATTATACATTTTGTTTGATTATTAGCAAATCATACATTTTTCAAATAAAACCAAAGTTTGATTATTAGCAAATGATACATTTTTCACCATAACACTAATTTTTTTGCTGACATGAATGCCACATATGCGATACATCATTTAAAGAAAATGAAAAATTTATGAGATAAGTTATTGTTTGATAATTTTACTTATTTTAATAAAATTAGACAAAAAAAATTAAAACTAATTAAAAATAAATAAAAGCTTTATTAGTCAATAGACTATATTATTTTCTTCTTCCTCTGCAACCCAAGTTACCTTAAAATACGACCTGATTAATTCTAGTTATGTTGCTTGCGTTGAAATTTATTGGATCGGACTAGATGAAGAATGACTGATTTATTGTGTAATCATGAAATTGGTTGTGAATCTCCCTCTAGCTTTAGCTTAGAGAAATGTAACAAACGAATCTTTTTTTCTTTCTATTTTTAGCTTTATGAATGAAATAAAAAGGTGGAAAACGTTGGTCCAGTTTTATAAAAGCTTTTCTTAATTTTTGTTTGTTTTAAATTTTTGAAAGTTTTGTTTAAAGATATTTAAAATTTAGAAAACGATAATGTTTCTTCTTAAAATTTTAATTATACATTTTTTTTTAAATGATGTGGCAGAAAGTGTATATTTTAGCTAAACATCTACTATAATTTAACAGAAAGTGTAGAATTAAATGATGTGGCAGAAAGTGCACAAGATATATGATATCTAAAATTTTGAATGTTTGAATATTTATTTACATTGTGTTTATACTTTATATATAAATTGAACACATGGACATGGTTATACTATGGGTAAGTTTTGGCCTTTCCCCCAAATTCATATCTTCATGAATATTTGAAGTCTCCTTTGGAGTGAGAGTCTTCTCATTTCTTTGACAATCAAACCTGTCTTTGCAAGAGGTTTTTCTGGCTCTATTTATGTTGTTGACTCGTATGATCTAACATCTTCCCTCATACTTGGGGCTACTAGAATTCGCACACAAAGTTTGGAGCTCAAAGTCAAGTTTTAGTAGTGTTGTAAAATACCAAAAAAAAAAAAAAACTAAAAGAGAAGTACAGTATGCTTAGTTTGCATTCAAAACAGTATTTAGAATTAAGTTTACTTGGTATTCAAAAAGAGTATTAGATTTATTTTGCAGTTTAAAGAAGAAAGGGGGAAAAAAATAAATCAAGTCCTATAAAGTAGTAGAGGAGAAAGAGTTAATTATGACATTCAGAAATATAATAATAGGGTTTGTTCTAAAATAGCTTAATAAATAAATAAAAACTGGCTATTACACTAATCTGATAAAACAGATGTCAGCCAAAACATAACCACATAAATCAGACAAACACTAAAGAGTCTAAGACTCTAAATATTCCAACTAAAACCCTAAACTCTCTGCATCTGAGTTTTTTTAAAAAGAGAAAAGATATAAAAAAAACTAAACCCTAGTTTTAAGAACATAAGTCTTACAGAGAGTTAACCCAAATTCTACAGATTGGATCCTCACAATTCTTGGTTGTAGTTTTGTTCTCACAGACCAAAACTCATTCGGTCTGCCCAAAGGTAACAAAAGTCTCTCTCTCTATGGTCGAGTTCTAACGCCACGGATCCTTCCGGTTTCAACCTGATCTTCTTCTTCTTCTTCTTCTTTCCTTCTCATCTCTATGATCTTCCTGTGAGAGTTCGAATGCACACTTGGGATGAATGTAGGGCTCGAAGCTGGACGGTACTCAGGAAGAAGACGGCCTGATCTGTACCTGACTCCACAAGCATTGCAGAGTGTTTTAGGCCCATGTGGTCCTTCCCTCCACTGAGGGGTCTTGGTTGTCTCGCAGTGAGTGCATTTCCTGATTGTTCCATCTGCGTTGAATGGTTCAGGACTGTCAGAGGCCGAGTAGGTGGAAGCGGGAGCGGAAGGAGAACGGTTCTTGATCTTCTTGCGCTTCTTGTTGGGGGAATCCTGAGTTTCAGAGTCTGATTCATAGGCCTCTGAGTTTCTTGAGAAGTTCTGAGACACTTCTGATGTGAATGACTTGAGGAAGCTTAATCTTGGGGCTGTGGGGCGTTTCCTCGTCTTGTTTCTGATGGCTTTCACGGGGAAGCCCAGTCTCTGAGCTCGGTTATGGATTTGGGAGGAGACGGAACCATTACCGTTGTTGGTGTTGTCAAGAACTGAGACTGGGCTTGAAGACTGAAACAGCCTTGAGACTTTGACATCAGGAACAGGAAGGGATCTATCAATGATGGAAGAGACTTCCAAAGAGCTCGACTCCTTCTGTAGACAAGAAGACAAAATCTAAATCAGAAACATATTCAATACACAGGAACATAAGTTCATGCTATAAGTAAGAAACAAAGAGGAGGACTTCTTGAAAATGAAAAGATCTATACTTATCAACACAGTTGAGCAATAAAATATGCATACAAACAAAACAATCACGAGCATGATTCTACATGGGTCAACAGATTTTTCCATATCAGATTGACAATGATACTATACTTAATCCTACAGAGGGATTCAGAGAACAATTTCTCCTTTATTCTTCTCTCAAGAACAAATATAGACACTAAACTAACCAAAGTAACCAAAGGGTTTGTTGAAGAGAACCTCAAAACTATCCCCGACACAAAGGCTCCAAACCACCACACAAACACTCGACGCCCTTACCTCCTGACCACATCCTAAATATAACAGGTGCTGAGCTAGTAACTAGTCAGTCCTATCCATGGGCATTTGAGTGAAGACAACAAGCTAAACTGAAAGACCTAAGACACTGCACGGTCCTTTTCTCATATACCTTCAGAGACTTAACAGTTCACATATATACACTCTCGGCTACAACATAACAAGGCTTCTTTTTCAAAAGTGTTTCCCAAGTCCTAGCAGGGTAAAGAAACAGCGATTGTGTTGTTTATATCTCGATACAAGTCCTATGCTAATGCTCACATATATGGATAATCTACCAAAGTCATATGTGTGTGTGTGTGTGTGATGTGTATAAACATGATTTTCTTTTTGCAGACACTTCTAACCTAAAGCATCCAAAAGCTACAGTACTACCAAATCATTTCCTTCTTCAACAGCTCTTTTAATTGTCAATATGATGCATACAGAGTATAAAGCACAGATGATGCGTTAATAATGCATAACAATATGCATAAAAACCTCCATAAAAAGTATGCATATGTAATGTATATGAGTGTGATTCTTTGTTCATTTACACACTATTCTAAGACAATGCAGTAACACGTTATGTAAGCTTGAATCCAAAAGAATGACTATGTATAACCATACCAAATTATTTCCTAATGCAAATGGATATTGTGTAATCGTGTAAATAATCGATCAAGTAACTTAAGTAAATGTAGTTTGAATCCAAAACGATGCACTTTCCTAATGCAGATAAGAGTGATTCTTTTCTTTACGCAATTTAGCAACCAGTGAAACAAATGAAGCTTCAATACAAATGAATTGCTATGTTGCAGTGTTACCAAACTTAGTTCCCTAATTGTGTTAGCAATATATCAAACTCACATAGATTATAGAAAGTAAATTCTCTTCTCACATTTTACTAACCTTATATGCATAAATGATGTATATAAGCGTGATATATCTTTATACACTCTTCACTAAACCTAACACAGAGAAAAAAACTATCAAATCTTGAATGCAAAAAACCAACTTTCCTGAACCAAATGTGTGCTGCTGATTGTGGGCACAATATGTTAAACTATACATAAGCGCTGTGAATGAGTAGATATAGTTTATCAAGAAGAATGCTTAAATGGGGATTATGATGTAATATCATGAACATAAACTAGCAAAAGAGACAAGCATAGTAATCAGAACCAAGAACTCACCACACCAGGCTCAGGCTTTTGGACTCCGGCACGTTGTCCATTACCGCAAGTGAACTCGGAGGACAAATTGTTGAGCACATCCAATGGAGGCACGAGGTTCTTAAACCCGGCACTCCAGTCTCCTTCCTCATCATTGGCGGTTTCAATGTCTTCAAGGGGAAAATCGATATGGTTGATGAGATCATCGAAGAAATTATCAGATAATCCCTTGAAGACCTCTTCAGGTACCCAAGAACTGTTATTCATTTGTCACACCACTCACTGTCCACACAAAACCATAGACAGATATATGAGTTAAGAAGCCAAGCCAAGTAACATAATACACATAATAATCAGAGACAACAGAGAATGAATTCAATTGAAAAACCAACATCAAACCTGCAAATTGAGTGATAAGAAGACCTAAAGTTCTGAAGTAAGACTAAGAAAATTCATTTTTTTCCATTATGTTTGACTCAAAGAGTGAGCAACAATAAAGAAGCTTCTCAACACACATAAATGGCAAAAGATTCGTTTGGAGTCAATTTTTCATTTCCTCTTAGAGATCATTTTAAAAATTTGTGTTCATTTCATAATTGAATTCAAAACCATTTTGGGAGAAATCACAAGTAACAATTTTTTTTAGGGCACAGACATAAAACAACAAAGACACGAATCGAAAAACGAAGACAAAAGCATTCTTACATTTGTATTAATGTCAAAAACAAAAACATGAAAAAAAACAACAACGAGAAATCTCCAACTCAAGAAGAAATGTAAGAGAGACAGACCCACAAACCTTACGATATAGCTGACTACAGAGAAAGCATTCCCCAGCGTCAAGCGAGGGAGAGAGAGAGAGAGAGAGAGAGAGGAGATGGAGGAGAGAGAGAGAGAATCTAAAATTGTCCGAAATTGGGGATTTAGGGATTACAGAAGAAGAAGAGAGAAAAAGAGAGAGAAGGAGAGAGAGAGTTAATATACGGTCATGCACATGGAGGTTTCAGTGTGTGTGTCATCTTTCCCTTTTCAAAATCTTTTTTTTTTTGCTTTAAAGAAATTTATATTTGTTGTATTTTTTTTTTTTTTTTTTTTTTTTTTTTTTTTTTTGTGAAAGGAAATAACTACAGTCATTTTTCCACGTTTGGAGAAAATTTGGAAAATGTTATATTGATTGGGAAATTGAAATTCAAACATTGTTCAATTTTAAGCAAATAAGTTAATATATCCTTTTGTCTTAGATTTGAAATATCTACATTTTTGAAACAATTTTTTTTTTCTCTATAATGTGGAGGATATATCATATATGCACCTAATATTTTTATTATTGAAACTTATCTTGTAGTAAGATTTTGCACTAATGTTATTGGTTCAATGATATATTGATATATGAGCATAAGCAAAATGACTAGTGGGAACCACTGCAATACGTACAAGTAAGTGATCATCATTATCATAAAACGAACAAAATCTAAGAAACATGGTTTAAGAGTTTTATTTGTAATTTTTATACATTTTATTTTAAATTTTTATGTGTCAGGTGTAATTTAGTTACAACCTTAGTCACCTAAATAATAATTGCAAGTCTTTTAGTTGGGAAAACTAGGAAATAAATCTATTAAAAATAAATTAAAGAAAAAAATAGGCTGTTTAATTAAAAGAACAGACCATTTGTTTAGGTTTTAGGATTTGGTTTATGAATTATGATTAAGGCTTAAGATTGTGTTGTTAGGACTCAGATTAGGTTTTAAACTAGTACTTCGTCCTTTTAGTTTTTTTTGTCATTATATAATTAATTTTTGTTTTATTTTAGTTGTCATTTTGTGTTTTCAATGTAAATTTATGATATATCCCTATTCTTTTAACTTATTAATTACTTATATTAAATCAAACTGTGTAGCTAATACAAGAAATTTAGTTATTTTCTTAATATACGCAAAATAATCTAGAATGACGACTAATAAGAGACATATAAAAGTTTTGACTATTATTTGTATTTTTGTTATAAAATTTACGATATTTTCAATTTTTAACTTGGAAACTTTTTACAAATCAAAAATTTAAACAGTTTTTGTAATCATCTTTTTGTTAGTGCATTATTAACATTTTCTATTTCTTGAAACATTTTCATTTTGATAAATATTTCGAGAAATATTTTACTAGATTTGTTTTATATTATTTGCAACTTACGAAATTTTTTATATGATTTTTAAAATGGATTTGATTAGTAATTTTTTAGGTTTTTACTGTGTTCGTAAGGGGTACTGTATATCACTTTTAACATAGTAATCACACACACACACACACAAAAATTAACCATCACAAATTCATAATATATCTTCTACTAACGTTTCCTATTTTTTTAGAACTATTCTGTTACTATCATTTACCATTTTCTGTTCTAGCCAAGAAAAAATATCGTTTTTGACTAAATCATCATCAGTCAGGACCTGTATATGTCACAAACACTACAAAGAAAACAAAATTTATCAATTTTAAGATGATAATGCAAAAGCTATTCTCATATCATATTAAATATAGAATATGATTGTGTCGAGAAGTTAGGAGGGAAACAAAATATCAAGCACATGAACGGCCCACATGTCAAATCAGACGACATGCCTTGAGGAAGTAGGGTGGCTTCGTAGATCCGATCTGATTCAATTATTTTCTTATTATTATTCTTCCTAAACTCGATCTTAACTTGTTAATAGTCAAGAAAACAAATTAAAGATGTTACATCTTCGAAATGAAATGAAGAGAAGATCACCGACTATTACGACTTACGAGAGGAGTACCGAAACTTAATGATTATGGAGTTTCCTCATGGGAATGTGGGTCTCCTCCTGCGTTGCTTCCACATGATGGGTTCTATTAAATTTCGAGATAACATTACCAAAATTTGTGCAAGTCTTAAAATTCTTGTATATCGACCATATGGGATATTTTCTGAAACTGTACGATCTTTTTCACTATTATTAGGTTCGTTTTTTTTTGTTTGGTAAATTCCCGTATAGTCAACTCAAATTTACTTCTGTTTACATAGAAATATCAAGAGCAAATTTTGTGATTTACGTCCTCATCGTAGTAGATGTTAAACTTTAAATCCAAAATAATGATATAATTCCCTTTTTTTAGTTAATTATTCTATTTTCCTTAATTAGACTTTCCTTTTTTGTTATCCTTTCAACTGAGATAGTTTTGTTAGCTCTTAGGTACACTAGGTGTTTTACCCGCGCACACGCGGATTCCGTTTTAATATTTGTAATAATAAATCTTATGTCCTCTTTATTTTAATTTTATTCAATAATATTAAGAAAATGTATGATTCAATTAAGAATATTTGTATATCAAGTTCGAGTCATCAATTTTTTTTGTTTCTTTGATAAGAGATGAAAATAATAATTTCATTTATTAAAAAAAGATTTTTAAAATGCTTCACTATTTTTCAATTTTTGTTTATAATTTTTTTTAATAAACTTTTTTTTGTAATATACTTTTAATTTTTTTTACCTAACCAATTTAATTATTTTTATAAGTAGTCATAATAAGTAAGATACCTTTTAATAATATTTGAAATCTCTTCTCATTGACTTTACCCCTTTTTGTTTGGTTTTCTTGTTTTTACAGAGATCAAACGTCCTTAGCCTTCAGGTTCAATTTTTTTCTTTAAAATCCTTTGATTAAGTACCTTCTGATCCATGAGAAGGAGTTCTACACCCATGAGTAATCCGCCTTTTTTAACGTTTCGTGCCTCCCAAAAGTGGATGACTCTGACAAGCAAATCATTATTTTGAAACCTTTTTTTAGATCATCGAAAACCAAAGTATGGCTTAACTGATTAGAAACAGAAGAGCATGAATTTGCCATGGCTTATAAAAATCGATTGAGAGATGTGAATGTATATTATGAACTTGGTTTCATGTGGCAATAAGACCACATATATATAGGATTTAAGATCATCTTATTCCTAATGGAAAAAGGAATCAATGTATATCAATGTCATTGTACAATAAGGAAATTAGAGAAGTGATAATTACAAAAATAGGAACTATCCAAATCCTAATCTTTATCAAACAATATCCAATTTGTTTTTCAAGAATCTTCTAGACTAAAACGAAATAATGAAACCAAGAAATAAATTTGGAAGAAGAAATAAGAAAAAAATGCCAAGAAGCAATCTTATATTCGCCAGAAATTAAAGCAGCCGAATTGTACAGTCAAATCACAAGACTTATCTTAGTAATAGATTCCGAATTTCTCCATTTTTGGTCTAATACTCCCTCAACTGAAGTTGTACTGAAGCTTCAAACTTGCAACAATGCGAAATAGGGAGTTTAGGGCAAAATAAATCCAATTCGATTTACGAAATCTGTGAAATGAAGAATGAATTTTTGTTGTTTGACGGTGGAGAGAGAGAGAGTTTTGTGAGATGCAGTTTTAGGGTTTGTAGAAAAAAGGGGAAGAAGATGTAGCAGATCCCGTTTTGGAGATGCCGATGTCTGATTTTTTTTTTTTTTTTTGTGTGGTAACCTAATGGCAATGTCCATATAATTATTTTTGAAACGGTTTAAAAAAAAACAGGGGACTGCAAAGGATCGAACTCAATACCTGTTGAGTTTAGGACAATTGTGATAACCGCTACACCATAGCATCTTTTTGGCTGAATAGGAAATTTATTTCTATAATTACTTAAACATGTGTAAATTTTCCACTAAAAAGAAACTAATACTAATAATATATGTAAATTTAGATAATCTATGAATATGAAACTTATAATTCAGTTCTCGAAAATTGTAAAATCAGAGAAATTATCTTTACTGAAAATTAATTAATAAATAATATGTAAAATAGAAAATTTACATAAATTAATTTAAAAGCAAAAAAAAAATAATGACATGACCAATCAAATTCAACCTTTTAAATCCTAGGTGGACAGCCTCTAATGCATATAGCTCAACTTAAAATAGAAAATTTACATAAATTAATTTAAAAGCAAAAAAAAAAAATAATGACATGGACCAATCAAATTCAACCTTTTAAATCCTAGGTGGACAGCCTCTAATGCATATAGGCTCAACTTTTATTAGTAATAATAGATATATACTGTAAACTTAATAAAAATATATCATGAGTTTTCCATAAACTACTTAATAACCATTGTAGAATGTTAAATTAAATCCGACCTTAGCTCAGTTGGTAAAGCGGAGGACTGTAACATGTTACCCTAACAACAAATCCTTAGGTCACTCGTTCAAATCCGGTAGGTTGGATTTTTAAAAAAAATATCTTTATTAGATTTATGAAATTACTAAAACACAAAATTTTCACTAAAAAAAAGATTTTAGTTGGAATCTAAAAATCATTTAATCAATTATAGTGAATTTTACTAAGATTTTTAAAATCCATAAACAATACCAGAAAATTTTTAAAAATTCTTAGAAATCTATCTTCTAATACCAATATTTTAGACCCACTAGAAAACTTGGTAGCGGGCTACTCAATGGAGCCTAGATCACCACATTTTTATTAAAACAAAATATTTGGAAAAGATTGATGTTCACTACAAGTAAAAAGGAATATTGTAACATAAAATTTGTGACGAATTATTGTTCTAATATTGTGACGATTTACATACGAAAATGTGACGAAATTGTTTGGTTATAAAAACATAAAAATTTCTTTATAATATTGTGACAGAAATTAACGTAAAAAATATTTGTAACCATTGTGACAAATTTGTTATGAAATATATAGTTAAAAATATTGTTACGGTTTTGTGATGAAATCCGGTAACTAAATTAATACAGTTTTGGTATAAAACTTACGTCACACATGGTTACAATAAATTGGTTGGTATCTCAAGTCACAATTAGTTACTGTTTTAGTGACTTTTAGATTTAATCATAAATTGTGACTTAGTAGAAAAATTTGTGACTAGATTAAAAACATATGTAGACATTACATATTAAATAAAAAAATAGCTTATATTCTGAAAAAACACAAAAAACCTGGAAAGTAATAAAAATAACATAATAAAATGCCAAGAAAATTATTCAGACTCGTCACTGGTTAATTCGATATCAAAATTTCCATATTCAGCATATGATCCTCTTTCTGCTTCTACTTATGGAGCATCAAGATCTTCTGCTTGCCTATGTGTTAGTGTCTCGACGTTAAACATCATTTTCATGTTGCATTGCACTGAAATCAAAAATATTGATATACCAATACTTTTCCCCATGGTGGCTATCATAATGCATGCTGTCGAGTGTTAAATCTTTTTTTCGGTTGCGTCATCCGTGGATATGGAACATAACATACTTGATCTGCTTGTGATAGGGATCATCTTTTTCATAGCGCTCTTTATCACTGATATCGATAATTCCTAACTTGTTTATTCGTACACCTTTCCCAATGGTTGAATCATACCAATCTCATTTGAAGACCACAAGTTTAAGATCAGGTGGTCCGGAATAATGAAGCTCCAAAATCTCTCTCAATACTCCATAGAAACTAGATTCTTCACTTGAGCCACTAGATGTTGTACCTTTGACTCAAACTCTATAATTAGCATTCTTTTTGTCTTTCCCATGATCATATGTATGAGATATATATATTTATATATATTGATACTAGGGGGAGCCGCGCATCGCGCAGGAATTTATATTGTTGCATTAATTTTATTGTTTTTGCAAATATAATTTATTTTCTGGTTTATTATTATTTAAAAATATACACAAACTAATTAAATATAATTAGGGTTAGGCAAAATTCTTGTCAATCTTGTCCCATCTTGTCCTATTTCGTTCATTTTCATCATGTCTATCTTTCGCATCCCGTCCGTCCTGTCTGTCCCCGTCCCGTCCAATCTCATCATATCCCATTATGTTCTTTTCCATTTTGTTATGTCTTATCCCGTTCCTTTTGTTTCTTCTCGTCCCATTCCCTAAATATAACTAGGGGTAGAAAAATTCCTATCTAGTCCCATCTATCCCTTTTCGTTCCTTTTCATCTTGTTCTGTTCTTTCCCGTCATGTTCGTCATTGCCTCAAATTTTCACAATTTATAAACCCAACTAATGAGCTGCAAGTGCACAGCCGTGTTGTAGTCGGGGTCGAACACGAGGAGGAAGTGTTCTCGCTTAACACCTTGTGAGATTGGTTTGTAGCTAGCTCGCAATATGGATGGTTTTGGACCTAGAATGAGAAACAAAACAAAGAAATGTGAGTGAGGTTGTAAACAATTTAAAACAAGAGTTAGGCAAAGGACAATCATATGGAGCAATGATGAAAAGATAGTTGCATGGGATGTGTGTAGAGCCGTCTTGAACATGAATCACTAGTGTATGGTCTTTCCACTGTCGTGGCTCCAACCACTATGTTTAAAACAACCTAATATACTCAGCTTTCGTTGGCTATTAGAATTGCAAACATGCATTAAAGGTGATCAAGATTCAATTGTTCACAATAAACCATAACTCAGCTTTCGTTGGCTATGATCTATTGCTCACCAAATACTAGTTTTGAGATCTAGATTCAGCACTGTCGTGGTTCTATTTCTCTAAGATCAGATTACTAGATGTACGGTAGAGTAATCATGCATTAAGCTCAAGTAAAGGTGAAGATCCATAAGATAAATCCCAATAAGTTGCAACACAATCAAATCATCACGGCCACCATAGATCTCCTCGGCCTAACTAAGAGATCTACTCGGCCATGATGCAAACAAGCAAGCAAAGCATGATTGTAAACATTATGCAAGTATTAAAAGAGATAAAGGGATGAAGAAAGCTTCTCTATTGATGAACAAAGTCGGATTCTCCCTTGAAAACTCTTAAGATCAATCATAGAAATGGAAACAATGAAAAAGAAAGAACAAGAGTTGAGCGGCGCCTCCTTCTTCTTGGACGATCTCCTAGGGCTTCTCTCTTCTCTTCTCTGAACTCTCTTCTCACAAACTCACACGCTCGATCTCTTCTTCAGCGGCTAAAAACATGTATATATGGGCGAAGTCGCGTAGGGTTTTCTTCATGCCGGAAAAGGAAAGTTTCCCATGAGCAAAGCCTTCTTCTCCACGTCGTGTATGGGCCGACATTGTACCAAGGAAAGCTCCAAACATTAGCCAGGCCTCTTCTCTATTCGATCAAGGCCTTTGGCGCTGCTGCTCGGGCCATTAGACACTCCAAATCCTCCATGGGCTTCGTTTGCTCGCTTACCGGACATGTCTCGGTAGAAAATAAGTCTAGGCCTCATAGTTGATCCAAATGGCTTCATTCCACTTCGACGTGATGCATGACTCAAGTATCTATCTTTCCATATCAAGATCGTAACTTTTGGACGTCGGGAACTCCTCCGCGCGCGGCCAAACTTCCGAAGCTTCGTTCTGCGCGCTAGCGAGAACTAACACTTGGAGATAAAATGATCTTCTTGACTTGGAAACTTGCATGGATCTTGATTTAGGGCTCTTTTACTCCTTTTTGCATCCTTTTTGATGGTTTCACCTACAAAGACTTCAAATCCCACAAATACAAGAAAACTACCTCTAAAGGCAAAGAATCTTGCAAAAACCGTTTGAAAACATATAGTTATATAGTAAAATCATGTAAAATATGGTGATATCATCCGCCCCGTCCAGTCTCATCCTATTCTATTATGTTTCTTTCTGTTTTGTCCTATCTATGTCCCGTCCATAAATATAATTAGGGGTATGCGAAAGTCCCATCCCGTTATTTCCTGTCCCATAATGTCCCTTTTCATCTTGTCTAGTCTCATTCCGTTTCTTTTCATCCCGTCTTATCCAACATGTCCGTCTTGTCCCGTCCAATCCCATCATATCTCATTTCGTTCTTTTCCGTCTTGTCCTCTCTCTTCATGTTTCTTTCGTTTCTTCATGTTATGTCCCTAGATATTTTGGGGTAGGCGAAATATCCGTCTTGTCCTATCATGTCCTTTTCCGTTCCTTTACATTCCGTCTCGTCATTTAATATAAAAAGAAGTAGACAAAATTCCCCTCTTCTCGCGTTCTGTTTTTTTTCGTCTCTTTCTGCCGGTCTCGTTCCATTTTGTCTCAAAATACTTAAAAACAATATTCTTTCTATAATATCTTGAGAACTACTAAATAATAGTTTTTTTAATAGATTTATATCAATTTTTTTTCCTTTTTTTAAATGACTTTTCATATTCTTATTAAGTCTATTTAATGAATGATAACTATTATAAAAATTAAAAAAAAAAGAGAAAACATGATATATTAAATGTTTGTGCTGAAATGATGAATTTAAAGGCACCCTCTTTTGCTGATGTGGCAGCACCAAAATAGAATAACATGAACTTTTTATATATAGATATCCATATTTACATGTTTTTACTTAGTATTTTCATATGTTTTTAAGTATTTTCATAAAGGTTTTATGCATTTGGAGGTAGTTTTCTAGTATTTATTGGTGCTAGAGTCTTAACAGGGTAAACTATAAAAAAGGATGCAAAAAGAAGCAAAAGAGCCTCAAATCATGATCTATGCAAGTTTCCAAGTCAAGAGCATCAATATTAGGTTCCATATTAGGACATATAAATGTTGATCAAGAGACAGCGAGAAACAAGAACACTTTGGTTCTCAAAAGACAAAACAAGTTACTTCAATTTTCAAGTCTGGTTTCTTATCTTGCATTACAAGTATTTAAATACACACGTAAGAAGCTGAAACAATAACCGTTCCTATAAACAAGGAGCATAATTAAACAAAGTGTGAATATGTAATGGTCAAGAGATGGCCACATCATCTTCCTCTTCACAAAGTATCTCATCAATATGCCAATCCTCCAAAGAACCTTGTCCTCAAGGTTCATAAGAACAAGAACTCGTCCACGATCAAACGGCCGCTTTCCGTTTGTGCCAATTCTACCCACTAAAGATGAAACTTTCTCGACCGACCACACTAGTTATCACATGAAACGATTGACTTACCTCTTCATGTTCCCGATATTCCTCTAGATCGGGTGTAACCTCCATGATCTCTGTCGCCGACTGCTTTGGCTTCTCCACCGTCTTCATCTTCCTTCTCCATGTTGATGCCCGATCCTCCCAATATTGAACCATCTTCTTCACCTCTTCATGTATCTCCCCAAGAAGAGAACCATGATCCATGCACTCCTCCTTCATGGCTGCCGCTGGACACGCCATAGATGGCTCTTCGTCGTCATAGACGTCAAAGAGTGGAGCTCCATCATTGTAGAAATCTTCTCCAGCTTGATGAGGTTGCTCATCATCAGCCACAAAAAGACTCTCGTTGATGAAGTTACTCATCACAAACCGTTCCGATGACGTTGATTCAAAATGAATGGCCGTCAACAACTAACTGCTCTGATACCAATTGTTAACCATGACTTTTGATCAAAGCTTTAGAACAGAACAAGCAAGTAGTTGCAGAGAAAATAAGAACAAGACACTTCTTTTGGGCAACTGATATTGCCTCTTTTGGCTTTTCATTAGTTTAGATAGAAAACAGTACTGACGCAAATCATGCAGGCGTAGCTCCTGCAAACGAGGGAAAATGGAAAAGTGGAAGAGTTGGTTCCTAGATATAACAAAGATCAATTCTGCTCTTATTACAACTGAAGCAAATTACTGAATTAAATAAAAAATTGCAGACTTGAATCGGTTAATGAACATACTTGAGGTTTGGTTTCTTTGTCTTGTTCGATGTCCTTGTGATTGGTTCTTGAACTCCATCATTACTCTCCTCCCCAAAATGAAGCTTGTCCTCAAGATTCAGTGTGGGGAAACTCATGTGAAGCTGTTCAGTCTCCTCCCAAGTGGCATCATTGAGAGGTAAGTCACGCCATTTGACCAAGGTTTCTGGGCGTTTTTGTTGGCCTTCTTGTACTTGCCAATGCTCGAGCGCCTGGTCTAGTTCGAGGCGCAAATTACCATTGCCTTTAATTGGTGGTAGACTTTCCATCACTAGATCTCCATTTCCCACCAATTTCTTAAACAATGACACGTGAAAGACATGATGCACCTTAGCGCCTTCTGGTATTGATAAACTGTACGCAACATACCTTATTATTGCCTCCACTTGAAATGGACCGTGATATTTGGTGGACAACTTCTTGGAGGTGCGACGAAAGATGGTATGTTGGCGGTAAGGTTGTAATCGCAGAAAAACCCAGTCGCCAACATTGAACTCAACATGTCTCCTCTTTTTGTCTGCTGTTTGCTTCATGTAATGATTTGCCTATTCCAAATGGTTTTTTAATTCTCGCAAAAGGGCATCTCTGGAACTCAGCAGTTCATCCAATTCGATCACAACGCTGGACCACACCTCGTAGACAGGAAAAGGTGGAGGAGTGCGACGTAAAGCGCTTGAAAGAGAGACATTCCCATTGAAGAATGGTATGTTGTGTTATACCAAAACTCTGCCTAGGGAAGAAGAGAGTGCCAATGGCGTGGACGAGAGTGAACAAAGCATCACAGGAACTGCTCTATGCAGCGGTTAACCACCTCCATTTCCCATTCGTTTGCGGATGATAGGCGGAGGACATTCGGAGTGTTGTTCCTGCCAATTTTCAAAACTCAAGCCAGAAATTACTTACAAAGATTGGATCTTTATCACTGAGAATGGAACAAGGAATGCCGCCACCACCTCTAAAATACATGAAATCAGCAATAACCATTTTTCTACTGACATTTTTTTGCAAAATTAAGAGCCAAAAACTGTATAAGATTTTACTGAAAAATTATGGACCGCAAGCCCAAACTTGCTTTGCTTGGGCCTAAGGCTGGCTCTCATCAGATCTTAGAGGAGAAAGAATCCAGCTGTAGTCCAAAGTACAATATTTAACCAGACTGTATGGGGATGCCAATGGTTGATGGCGCTTGTACTCCCAACAAGTGATGAAAGGACCAAAGGGGATATAAGGATCCCATCAAAAGAATGTCTCTTCTCTATTTTTGATTATAATTCACAAAAAGATAGAATTTTGTGAAGAAGCTTTAGGAGCTTCCGGAACGTCCATGAGAAGGCTGCAACGTTTTCATTTAAAGCCCATACATGTTTTCGGCTTAAATAGCAACTGCACATCATATTGATCCCAACCAAGGGCCGTCCCTGGACAAAGCCTAATAAAACATCAAACATGGGCCTTACCCCCAATTTTTTTAACATATTATTATAACAAATTGGCCCCCAAATTTAATACTCCCTCTGTCCCACATTATAAGCTGTTTTAGCTTAAACACAAGAATTAAGAAAGTTGTTTTACTTTAAAAAAGTATCATTTAAAATATAGATTAACTATAATTCAACCAATCATAAAAAACAACTACAAAATATAAGTGGTCACACAGTTTTCCATAAAGTAAAAGTGCATTGAAATATCAAAATTGCTTATATTGTGGGACAAAAATTATAAGCTAAAACAGCTTATATTATGAGACAGAGGGAGTATATTTTTAGTAAATGACCCATTTTTCAAAAAATAAGTTAAAAAACCCCATAAATTTTATTTATTTTGCTATAGCCCCGTGAATTTCAGAGCCGCCATGTCTTAACCTAAAGAAAATCATCCAAAAAAGCTTCAAACCACAAACCTCATTCCAAAAACTGGTAGATCTGATTCCAAGACTGCCCTCTAATTTTGGAAAATATAAATCCATCCAAGAGAAACGAGCACCTGATGGTCGATAATCTAACTTCCCATGCCACAAGAAGAAGCTTCATAGAGAGTTGATTTTGGTGATCACTTTTTTTGGGAGGAAGAAAGCTTGTGTCCAGAAAGCTATAAAACCCGAGATAATCGAAGACAATAGTCTAAGTCTTTCTCCAAGGCTGAGTGGTCTGTTCATCCAACTTTTCATCTCTCATTCTGATTTCAGAAATATGAGGATCACAATCCACCGCCGAGCGTTTTTTGGAGCAAAGCAAAAGATCCAAATAACATATTGGTAAAGAAGAAGGCACCAAAGTTCATCAAATCCATTCTTTCTCTTATGTTATCAAGTCCATTTGTCCAAAATGTTACCAATCATGATTTACTTTTAACTTTTTGCATTAGAGTTTGAGTTGGAATGTGGTATGATTGAAGTAAAATTTTGATGTATGTCCTTTGTAAAATAGTTAACTCAAATCAAATTTTTATCACATGGAAAATGGGATGTATTAAAGTTTGATTTATCAGTTTTCTTTATTTTCTTCTTCCCATGTTTTTTTAGTTATTATTTTTTTTTGTTTTTTTTGTTAATTCCACTGCAAACATATCACATGATTTTTACTGCAACTTACTTCAAATATACCATTTCTCCTAACTCAATGGTGATATGACATATCAGTATGTCACCAATCCAAGCTATAGTGTTAGGGGTTGCATTTGATTATTCGGTCTACATTGGATTTCAGATTTCTAAAGTTTTTGAGGTTGTTAAAAATAGGTCCCACTTAAAATCCGTTATATTTTGGCTCAGTATGATTTTAAAACAGTACAAAAAAAAATATTTACTCAAGTTAACGAAAATTATAGATATTTAGTTTATTAAAATGTACTTTTTTATATTAAATTAAAATATTTGTGTCTGATATATTTTGGTTAGTTTTTTTTTTTTTTTAAAGGGCTTATATTTATACTCCCTCCATTTCAAATTAGTTGTCGTTTTGGGAAAATGTATCTGCAATTATTTGGAGGTATCTGCAATGCAAAACATGTCCAGATACGTCCAAATATTTGCAGATACGTTTTGCCAAAACGACAACTAATTTGAAACGGAGGGAGTAGTAAACAGACCAACTACATAGTAGCAAATATAAACTTACAACCAGCAAGAGAAATAAAAACAAAGATCAACCCAAAACATTAGGAGGAGACCACTGATGGAGAATTGAATCTCCACAAGAAGAACCTAAAAGAGACATAGATGTGCATTTATCCTTGGCAGAACTAAGAATCAAGCTAAAGACTCTCCCCTGAGGAAGAGTAACTTCATGATGAAGTCTTTTATTACACTCCTTCCAGATCTTGTAGATAGCTCCTTGCCAGCCTTGAAGTATGGCAAGTCTTTTAGATGCTTCAAGAGGAGTAACATTTGGTTAGTTAAGTTTGGATAATTAAAATTTGTATATAAAATATCCAAAACCATATCGAAATATTCAAGAGGAGTAACATTTGGTTAGTTAAGTTTGGATAATTAAAATTTGATTCTTAGTTCTGCCAAGGATTACAAATTTGCTTGGATATTATATACGTTTTTATTATATTATAATTTGCTTGGATATTTCGATATTTTGGAGTATTCATATATTTTACTCAGTTCAGTATATTTGATACTAATTGTTTTTCAAAAAAAAAAAAAAACGTAGAGATAGTCTTTACACAACTGTTTAAAACTGATTACAATATGGTAGAAATAGTTTAAACACAATTAAAATTCGTAAAAAAAAATACTTTTACAAACAGTCAAAACACATACTTTATCCAAAAAAACAGTCAAACACAACTTGTTGTCACTGGCGAGAAGTCCAAAGACATCTGAAAGTTCCCAAGTGTGAAAACGCAAATGGGCGTTAAATCATAACCGTCAGATATAAAAACCGAAATGGGACCCATCAACCACACATCCAACGGCTAAAAACCAACCTAATTTTCACTCCTCATTTCTCATAATATAAATATAAAAATCCCTAAAAAAAGGGCGCAAACTAAAACAACTCAGCCTCACTCGTCTCTCTCTCTCTCTCTCTCTCACTTTCAGTCTCAGGTACTCTTTCTTCTTCTTCCTTTACTCTCTCCATTAATCTGCAACAAAACCCTAAATTCCAGATTCTCTTGACTGAATTAAGATTCGTTTCTCTAAATAGATTCGATTCGATTCTCTCCCTTTTTTAGTAGCTAACTTATTCCTAATTAATTTCGTTGTCTTGCTTAGATCTCGTGAAATCACCAATGGACCAAGAAGATGTAAAAAAAGCTTCTTTAGAGCCTAAAACTCCAATCCCCAATGTCTCCGATTCGGTTTCTCCGGTCTCTTCTCCATCGGAGGAGGAAACAATAAAAGGAGTCATTTCTTTGTCTCCGCTGTGTAACCAATACAGTGATAAGATGAGGATTGATTCCAATCTTTTCGATTGTGTTTTGGTTCTGTCCGATGAAGAAATCGTTGAGTCTATGTACCAGAGTCTCTTGAGAATCATTGTCTCTCTGCAAATACAAGGAAGCAACGGTGAGGTTTGGTGTTTTGACGATGGTTGCAAGACACCACCTTCGAGACATTCCGACAGTAACTTGGTTCCTGATACTTGTCCTGGAGCTCCGATGAAGCTCACTAAGGTATCGAGGAACATTGATTCTGGGTTGAGAAGAAAACTCTTCTGATCTTGAACAAACAGAAACTACTTTTCTGACATGAATTGTTGTTGTTGTTGTGACAGTATTATTAGCCATAAGAATAACTCTTGTAGCTTCTTTTGATTTGACTTTTGTTTGTACAGTTATCTTGGGATTTGCTAGCTAAGCTAGTTGTTGTTGGGAGACGTTTAGTTTCTGTTATTTCTTGTGGGTTTTTGTAATTTGTGTTTTATGTTTCCTGGAACTTGTAAACAGTGAAGAATCTAGAATAAAGTTTCAATCTTTTCCATATTTTTGAAGCCAAACTTATGCATATGTTTATGATATGATCACAAAGGTATTGTCTTTGTTAACTTCATCTGCAGAGAGAAAGACAATAGACAAATTTTGTTGAGTTTGCATCTCTGTATTTATATGTTATTAGATTGTTGTTTGGAACCAAGGTCTCTCCTGAAATGAAACTCTGAAACTGAAATGATTGCAAAAACCAGTCTTATTGTTGTGTAAGGATCAGTCAATGAGTGGCAGCTTCGGTTTGTCACTCTTGTCTTAAGCTTGTGTGTATAGCTAAATGAAATCTCATAAACCAATAGTAGAATGAATCCAGAGCAATGGAGCCTTTAAGTATTGGGTGTCAACAAACAAACCCAGTTGGCAAATCAATGCTTTTAACAGAGTTGTAAGAAATAAAAAAGTAACTAAGTCTATACAAAGAACTTGGGGCAGTAGTATCACCAAGATGATCTTATCTCAATCGCCTAAACAATAACCTACATTGTTCTATAACATTGAATAGATTTCAAAGAATACTTATGTCCTGCTATGGTCCTCCTGCTAGGACTCTTTATGGAATAATTGAAACTGCTTTGGAAGCGTCTAGATGGTTGAACCGGCAGGTTCCAAGAAGGTATTCCGGGAGCTCCTCCTCGGTATTCGCCTGGACAAATAAAATTTGCAAATGCTTCACTAAGTAAACCGGTTAAGAGTTAGAACAGCACCATTGGTGAAAACTAGCTTTTTACCTGTATCAAGAATGCCATTTCAATCACGAGATTGTTCAGGTAACCAAGAACAAGACTCACAACTCCTCTTGCAACAGTTGATGAACCAATATCAACGCCCAGCTGAAACAAAAGTAACAAAAAGACCATTATTAACACTGTTGCGGAACATACTACTCTTCCTACAAGGATCTTACTGTGTCTACCTCAATGTAATTCTTTCCCCTGAAGTAATTCATCTCCAGGGCCTGACCAATAAGGCATGCTTTCTTTCCCACACTCTGCTTAACTATCCAAGAGCCCTGATAACACAAGTCCGATATGTATAAATTGGACAGGAAAGAGTGTAAAAAGAGGTACTTAATCTTCTAAAAGCCAACCTTGGATATGTAAGGAATGAGCTTGAACCGTGAATTCCTATACGCGTCATCGCCATTAACAAAGCTAACAAGCAAAGGATGCTCTTCGATGGGAGTGCTCATCATGTAATAGAGCACAAGGCTGTACGTTGTTGATCCAGGAACCTAATAATTCATTCAATTACGGACAAATGTAAGTGTAAGGGCTCTATACAAAAACAGTGGTCGCAGGAGTGTTTGTCCTCTTTACCTGTATATTCACGATGAAAAAGAACTCTGGTCCACCTTTTGCTGCATATTTCTGCATTTTGAAAAGCTTGTAAGCTTCTACTAATATGTATCAGAAGTTCAGAACAAACAATAATATTTAGAACCTGAACGATGCCTCCAGGACGGGAACCGAAATCATCCTCCCGCTTGTCAGATTTTATCCAATCTGCGGCTACCATTTGCATCAGTGTACCCTTTGCCTTGACCTGGAGATCCACCAGAAGAGAATGCTTACAAATTGAGGAATCAATTCAAAACAACTAAGACAAGACAAGTTGTTTGCTTTTCTTTACCTTCGTCTGGTCTTCAAGATAAGTCTTTCCCCGGATGAGAAAAGTCGAGGGGTCGGTTGTTGACCAACTACAAGGTAAAGCACAAGTAGGATCCGTTGGAAGTGTGGTTCCATAGCTGCAAGGCGTGCTGCTCTCTTCCCTCCCTCTTTCATGCAGGTCAACATAACCCCTCTTTTGAACTGCTCGGAGATTATAACCGTTAAAAGTATGTCAAACTTGAGAACAAGAAAACAAAGTGACAAGACACAATCAATAAGAGAATGATTCATCCATGGAATTAAAGATCACCTGCAAGATCATGTAACTTTTTAACTAAACTCGAAGCGCTATTTAGTTTTGGCTGGCGAGAATCCTGCAGCCGGGAGCAACAAAAAAATCAGGTTTGGTATCTTTTCAAGCAAATCAAAGGCCATATATGGTGTTGTTACTACCTGAGAGTATGTATCCGAATCAAAATCTGAGGTCCAGCTATCATCCAAATTGTCATTATCTGACGGTTCTGGAACGTCGAAAAACTCATCCACTCCATCGTTCAGGTCTACAAGGCTAGACCGCTCTGAGTGAAATTTGTCTTTCTCTTCATGAGCAGTGTCCTTAAACAGTTCGGTTTCTCCCAAAGAAGAATCACCAAAAGCAGCACCAACTTCATTTTGATTCAGTCTTGCACTTCTTGACACGTCCCCTGATGACATAGTGGAAGGAAAGCTTCCATTTTTTGTCCTAAACAGCTCCCTCAGGGCTGATTCAACCAATAAGGATGTTATGATAAAAAGAATAAGTGTTTAAACTAAGGCAATTTCCTTTCAAGAGAATTGGCAACTACCAGAGATTCTTCCAAGCATTTTCACGGTAATAGATCTAGCTAGAGATGGTTTCATATAAGATCTCCAGGACTTCCAATCAATAGCAAGCATGTGCTTCACAACGGATTGTGTTCCATTGTCTATGGGAGAAATCACATAACCGCCACCTGTGATACAGAAGTTGAAAAACCTTAGTTACACAGAAACCTTGGAAGGTAGATATTTTGTTGCCACCACAGCGATAATGAGTAGTTTCAACAATGAGCATGTAAGGAAATGCAAAAACTAAGTTCGTTTTTTAATAAACTAGGCGTACATTACTTTTAAGGCACGCACGGATATAGCCTTTCTGAGGTGGACACTTCTTGTGGAATACAGAATGATAGAGGATAACTGCAATAGAATGAACAAAAGAGGATAAAACATTTAATTATATGAAACAACATCTAGCAGAATCAAACGAACAGTTATTTCTATTAAGCGTTACACAAACCATAAGTTCCATCATCTTCCCTTCTCCAATAACGACGCAGCGAAAAGTCTCTTCTTTTCATCCCCCTGTTATGACAGCATGTCAGTAACAATACAAACACAAAGACGCAAAACTCTGGCAGAGAAGTTTGAGTAGCTTACCATGGTAACCAATCACTGTATAACTGTTTGTGAATTATATCCGTGTGACCATCAAGATGTTCAACCACATTGCCTTGGTAAAAACAGAAATCCCATCTGCAAAGTTTCGAGACTTTAGTTTAAGATAAAAGTAAAAACAACGGATGCTAGTCAGGAGAGTGTATCGTAGTGCTTACTCTGATCTTGAGGGTCCAAGAGAAAGAAGCGTTTGGAAAATGGTTTCTGAGGTTCCATCAACAACTCCAACAGCCATGATAGCCGGATGATCATCCCACTGTGAAAGTCAAGCAAAGGAATCATCAAAAACCCAATGAACAAACATACCTTTTTCAAACAGATTAAGACTAAAGAAGACACTGACCCTTCCAAGAGAATCTCTCTCTTTTGCCTCTTTGAAAAGCCGAAGCCCTGCATGCAGCACATATTTAAACCAATTACCTTCCACAAACAAATTAAAGCACCGGCGATTTGGGTATGCACCGCACCATACATACCATTTTGACAGCCAAATATTGTCCATGGAGAAGGCGCAACAACATCAGTCGTAATAGGATCCACTCTTGCAGACGACCGTTGTGTCCAGTCAATAGAATTTGTGTGATGGTCCCTAGCTGAACTACTCAGTCTGAGTTTAGACAACAAAACCAAAAGAAAAAAAAGTTTATTTTTAAGTAACTAAAGACCATTATAGGTGCTATGCAATTGCACAGTTAGATTAGAGATCTGTTCCACTGATAAGTACCTCAGAGAATCCCAACGGCTTCTCGAGCAATTAAAGACATCTCCTGGAAGAGAAGCACCCTGCACATAACATATATACAACTATAAGTCTCTATACTTCTTAACTTGTTACCAAATGCTTTGATTTGAATCACCTTTAAAGCTGTCTCTTTAATCAAATTAATCCACCTAGCTGCATCTTCAGGACTGCTTGCTCCTAACTTTATATCAAATGAAAAAAGCAGGAAACTTTACAGTTTTTTCATCACAACAAGATGTCACAACAAAAGAACAAAAAAAACGTAAAATTACCTTACCTTGAGCTGATCATTGTGATTGGAAGTATTGTATAGTGTAAATATGAAGAATGCCTACAAGTGATAAAAACACAAATCCATTGTTATCACTCCACAATTTGAAAAACTGATCACATCCGGAACATAAAGTTTCGTACTTTTCTATGAACACTTTCTCTTCCATTGTCAGTAACTCTGATACATGAATCTATTACTGCACTTCTTCCAGCATCCTGTCAAAAAGGAAACAAATTTCAGATTCTATCTAAGTTACAATACACAAAACAATGCGATCAAAATATAATGGAGTAGTACCTTGGTTTGAGAATCGGAGATGGATTTGAAACTCTTGAGAAGATGATCTCCAAGGACAAAGTAACGTTTCCTAGAGAAATGCAATCCGAATCGATTGGATCGAATTATATACAACCAACCTTCCATCGTCGTCTCGCTCTCGTTTTCAGACCCAAAAGCCATTTGGAAACTTGGATCAAAAAAAGTTCAAAGCTTTACACTTATCGATAAGAGTTTCTTGATTTCCAAGGAAGATTGTTGCCGATAATCAATCAATCCAAAACAAGATTTAATCAAAGAAAAAAACCCACCTTTGGGGGAAAATCTCGAAACCCTAGAAGTTTCGTCTTTGCAATACAAACCACAGAAGAAGAAGTCTCTTGTTTTCTCCGATATTTCCCATAAAACGACAAACCCACAAAGAGAAAAGGGAGCAGAGATAATTGAGAGTAGGCGAAGATGACGAAAGGTGATTTTTTTTTTTTTGCACTGGAGATTTGATTTGTTTTTGTTTTTAAAAGAGAGAACAATAATTCGTCATGGCTTTCGATTTTTCTCTCTTAAATTTTTTTTTTTTAATTTTTTTTATTTCCGGCGGAGAGGAAAACTGAAACTTTTGGGAGCATGTGGCCAATGAGCAAGACAGAGAGGTTGGGGACGAACGATACAAATATGTGAAATTACGTTATTATCCTCTTTTGTACCCTTTTGATGTGTTCAAAGATTTAAGTTTTTAACCACTAAAATTTTCTGGTTGGTGGTTTGGTTATTTTGGTCCCAATTGCAATTACATTACATATTTATTACATTCGCTTTTCAACTTTTGTATATTATTTGCATCCACAATGTTATAAACTTATAATTGGTTTGCCGACAAAAAAATGGGGACAATTATAGTAAAACCTCTATAAAGTAATAACATTGAGACCTTGATATTTTATTACTTTAACGAGATTATTAATTTATCGAGAGATAATTAGACCAAAAACTTAATTCGGGACTCAAAAATTCTACTCATTTATCGAGATATTACTTTATCGAGTATTACTTTATAGAGGTTCTACTGTATATATGAATCGGTTTCACTTCTTATAATTAAAAATTAGTGACAGGAACAACCATAATGCTAATTTCCGTTTCGCTGGAAAAATACATAAATGAGCTATCTTATCATATACAGTAGAAACTCTATAAATTAATAATGTCGGGACTTTGATATTTTATTAATTTATAGAGTTATTAATATATAGATTTTGACTAAAAATATTTTCCAAAAAATAAAATTCAATATTAAATCAGAAGTTTCCTTTATACATATATTTTCTTAACTTTTTTTTCTGATGTTTCTATATTTACTTTATTCTTCACATTTACTCATACTTGCCATATTATATAAAATTCCTTTTTTTTGTTTTTCATTTCCATATATGTTTGGTATGTGAGAGATTCATATTTTAGTAGTTAGATATTTTAGGTGTATATATATAAATAAAAATAATTATTAATTTATGATTTTATTGGGACCATATTTTACATAGGAGTTCAAAAAAAGTTATTATCTTATTATCTTATCGAATTGTGTCATATTTTACACCGGCCCAATTCGGGACCAGAGAAATTTATTAATTTATCGTGTTTATTAATTTATCGAGTATTAATTTATAGATTTTCTAATGTACTCTACTCTAATTCCATAACTTTAATTTGAATAGAAAGATATATTTATTTAGGATTTTCTTTATTATCAGAAATTCAGATTTTTTATCAATCAACTTTTTTTTAGTGTAAGTATGTATAGCCATCGAGTTGTCAGTTTACCAAATTTTCTAACAAGTTTAAAACATAACACTATTTGGATATTTTGGATATTTGTTTACACAACATTCCTTGTTGTAACAATTAAAATAAAAAAAATGTTATCGTGAAGAAAAAAAATAAACACATCACGACAACACTTCAAGAATAATCTTACTAGACTAGTCATATACTAATATATACACGACTTCAAAAGTGAAAACCACGTTTTTACTTTTGTGTGTGTATACTAAATCAATTATTTCAACATGCATGAGATGAGGAAGAAAAAAAATTGGCTAAAGAAAGTGAAACCTAATGTATAGAAAAAAAATATACAAGACAAAAATAGTAATCTTGAAAAAGAAGCATTAAACTTGATTGAGAAATTTGTAGGAAGTATCGCAGTATCGTTAGCCAAAAGACAAAATGTACTGTAATATGTAGGAATAAGTCATCATCATCGTATTTAATTATATGTAAAACACAAATTCAAATTCAATAACGTTTTAGTTGGATTTGTTGGTTGTTGCAAACAAGTTGGCATATTGATGAGACGACTAGGGCCCTAACTGGTACCAGCTGAATTGAGGAATTCTGCTGAATTCCAACTTAAAAATAAAGTTATACACCAGTTGCAAAGAATTGTGGAATGTGGAATGTGGAATGTGAAATTCTGCTTAATAATAGTTAAAGTTGAAACACCATGATTTGCTTGGGCCCACTATAAGTCTCAATTCAGCTGTATTATTTAAGTCATGTAAATGACTTTAAGTATAAAATCTAGATACGTGACAATCTAAACTAATATTTTGACAATTTTTAAATGAGTTGAGAGCTGTTACAGTTATAACATATAAAAGAAAATAAAAAGGGGATGCAACGATTCTTTAAATTTTATATTTTTACAAAAATATAATATTAGTTAATCTCTAATAACAGTAGTTGTTGTAATAAAATACTAAAAACAAATTTAAGAATAATTATAGATTAATTTGAGTATGAATTTAAATTTAAATTATCCAGCATCTAATTCAATAAGCTTCAAATATTCGGGTTTTTGTCCGAAATTGAATCTTGATAATAAATTTACGGATTCAAAAAATAGATTTATGGATGTGGATTCATGTGATAAAAATGACTAAATAAACATATCCGGATATGAAGTATATATTAGATAAAAAAACTTTTAGTCTAAAATAAATTTAGTTATAAATTAGATCAATTATAGATTTTTTTAAAAAAATCTAAGTTTAATATAATTTAAACAATTTCTTTTATTTACCTATTATTTGGTTATTTTACAAATATAAGTTTTTGATTATTTTATTAATTCAACTAGGTAAATATTTTGTTATACTGTTACACAACTAATTTGTTAGATATTTATTCTGCATTCAGCAATATTCAACAGTTACCATTCACATTACTAAATAATCAGCCAGATTCCGCAACTATTCATCAATTAATTCAGCCAGATTCCGCATTCAGCAGAATTCCTCGGTTACCATTTACACCCTAGTTCTCATTTGCTAAATTATTATCTTCTGTCATTTGTAGCTTGCAAGTCTCATCATCATCACTACTACTCTACTATTTTAAATTATATTTTATTCTCTTTTTAGGGAAAGTTTATTTTCCAATTTTCTTCTTGGGTCCATAACCATAACCATAATATAAAATTGTTGTCCATATGTTTATTCATGGAAGTTGTAAGAGCATGTGCAATGCACATACCCATATGGTATGTTCCCACATTTAATATATTAAAAATAATATTATTTTAGTTAAAGATTTTTGGGAAGAAACTTAAGAATTATGGCACAACATTGCACATATCCATATGGGTTTCTTTAAAAAAAAATATATAATTTTTTTTGAAGTATTTATAAAATTGAAGAAAATATTATTATTCATAATAACTCGAATACATTATTAAAAAGACAAATACAACATTTATTACATATAAAACGAGGAAAAAAACGCATACAGAGAAAACACAAAGACAAACATACATGTTCTAAACCATATGAAAACATGATTAATGACCAAATTTGTTCCAAATATGCTCAACCAAATCAGCTTTCAATTGGTGATGCTTTTGTTGGTCACGAATATCAGCTCGATTAGCCATAATATTGTGGACATTCGACGGCAAGCGGTCAGGGGGACGTACTCGTGAAGACCCGCTCCCGTCTGCTCCTCCTTGTTGGAATTCCGTTACGTTATCTATAGTTTCAGCGTCTCTTTCATCTTCCACAATCATATTGTGTAATATGATACAAGCCTTCATTATATTCCCTATCTTCTCCTTATCCATGGTAAGAGACGGGTTTTTAACAATTGCAAATCGAGCTTGTAAGACTCCAAAAGCGCGCTCAACTTCTTTGCGGGCAAACGATTGATGGGCACAAAATAATTTTGCTTTCGGTTCTCCGGCTGAGGAATTGGTTTGACAAAAGTGGACCATTCCGGATATATACCATCTGTGAGATAGTAAGCCTTCTTGTATCGGTGTCCATTAACAGAGAATGACACCTTAGGAGCTCGACCTTCTAATATATCATCAAACACGGGTGAGCGGTGGAGAACATTAATGTCGTTTAAAGTACCTGGAGGTCCGAAAAATGCGTGCCAAATCCACAGATCATACGACGCGACAGGCCTCTAAAACGATTGTTGGTTTTGCATGACCCCGTGCATATTGCCCTTTCCATTCCGTGGGACAATTTTTCCACTCCCAATGCATACAGTCAATGCTTCCTATTGAGCCAGGAAATCCACGCGTCTCTCCGACCTTGAGTAATCGTTTAAGATCTGCTGGTGTAGGCCTTCTGAGATAGTCCTCCTCGTAAAAACCGATGATTGCGTTGGTAAATTTATGCAAGCATTTTAGCGCAGTGCTCGCTCCTAGTCTGAGGTATTCATCGACTGCATCAGCTGCATTGCCATATGCAGCATACGAATGGCGGCCGTGCATTTTTGTAAGCCGGTCAGACCCTTTCCAGTACCATCCGGTATGTGCTGAAAGAAGGGTAAGTCGGATAGCTTGTTAACTATGCGCATGAACAATGGTCGGTTCATCCGAAAGCGACGTCGGAATATGGCGTCGGGATAGATAGCATTCTCACTGAAATAATCATTGATCAAGCGGATGTTCCCTTCTTCACGTTCTCGATCTATGACCGCTCGTTTCTTTCTTCTCTTCTCTGGCTCAAGAACTTCATTTATATCATCTAAACACTCTTCCATAGAGTTTCAAACTCATCATCTAAGGCTTGTTCAAACCCATCATCAAATGAAAAAGGATGTATGGAAGATGATGCCATTGATGTTTTCCTTTGTAATTTTGATAAGATAATATGGTGTTTGAATGAGTGAAATGAGAAGTTTGAATAGAGGTACAATGGAGAATTTGAAGAGAGGTGTTTTGAAGAGAGGTGTTTGAGAGAGTTTGAAGAGAGATAGTTTGTTATGAGAGATATAAAAAGATATTGAAATAAGAGTAGGTTTTATAGTGAAACATGGCCATCAACTTGTGGCCGAGACACATCAACTTGTGGCCAAGACACATTGAAAAATTTGTTCGTTTTCTTATGGCCGAGACACATTGAAAAGTTTGTTCGTTTTCTTGTGGCCGACACAAGTACAATTCAAGTTGCTAAAAGAATAAAAAAGGGTATCGAACAACTTGACAAAAACAGAGTATAGAACAACTTGACAAAAACAGAGTATCGAACAATTTGGCAAGAATAAAACAGTTCCACCATCTCTTGCTCTTATCTTGATCCTCGCTGGCTCATTCTTTTTACTCTAAATACATGCAAACAACATGATTAGTTACCATCAACACATATACTCTAAACCATACTTAGCTTAAAAACAAATCGAAGCAAACATGGAGAGAAAGTGTTACCTAAGAGTAAGGATTCCTTCACCACTTCCCACTTCTCTCCCATCTTCGCAGAGGTGTCTTTAAGATGCTCAATACATTCCGCCATCTCTCTATCGGACTCACGAGAAGCATCTCCACAGTCCAAGGAACCTTGCTCTGCATCCATCAATTCCCTCTCACAGGCGGCCATATCTTCCCTCAGCTGAATTGTGTGACGATGAAGAGCCCTAAACCTCTTGTAAGACACCATGAATGCCTTCTGAACATGGTTGTGTTTGAGTTTGAGCAAGTCTAACCGGCGTTTCTCCGAGTTGTACACCTCAAGTAGGTCCTGCAATAATAAAAACAAGGAAGCGGATCGTTAAACATCAACTACATTAACTAATCAAAACTCACGCCAATGTAAGCAGAGGAGAAAGCAGATGAGATTAACCAACATTAACAAAACCAACACACAAACACAACAACTCTGAAAACAGAGATATTTAAAAGCCCAAAAGAGAAAAAAATCTTCATACGTTAAGCATACACAAACCAATACACAAACATTAACCGATCTGATTAGAGAGAGTTAAAAACCAATATAATAGCGTTCAGAGTGAAAGACCAATATAATATCGTAAGATTCAAGGCCAATATAATATCATAAAAAGAAGAACATGGTTCAGAGTACAATTAAAACAAGTCTGACGACATAAAGACATACATACATAAAATTAAAACAAACATGAAAACAAGTCTGAAACCAGGGAAACGATAAAATAAGTCTAAAGGCAAGGCAACAGACATTTAACTTAATTGAAACCTACTGATATATCTGACTAATTAGCTTATCCTTCAGCGCTTTCTCTATGTCGTTTAGTGGTTCCGTTCTTCCTAAGAGACTAGCTAGGAAATGTTTATCCGCTAATGTGTGCTTGTTAGCGAACTGCTTGTCACTTAGAGCAGCTACGGATTGGAGGTTAGTCATAGCAGCCTCCCTCTCTTCGGTGGTTCTCTTTCCCGTCTTAGTTGCCTTGAACTTTGCAGCCTTTGCTGCCTTCACACCAATTGGTCTTTCTTCGACTTGTTCCTCCATGACACCGCCGTCTACGGAACCAGCTGGCTGTGATCTTTTGGTTTGAGTTTTGCCTTTATCTCTATAAAGAGAACACCACTTCTGATCGTTTTTAAGAGCTCTCCACGCATGCTCTAAGATGAAGTTGGTCTTCATATCCTGGTTATAGAACTTGTAAGCCATCTGGTACACATCATCATCGGATTGGCCGCTTGTAGCTTGACGACTCGCCTGGTCAAAGCATCCGCAAAACTTCTGCACTTCCTTGTTTACTTTCGTCCATCTCTGCTTGCAAGAATTCCACTCGCGTGGCGGTAAATCCTTCACCGCAATACACCCGTGGTAGTAGTTGCAAACCCTTTTCCAAAACGCAGCAGCTTTCTGGTCAGTTGCAGTGACGCCATCTTTGCTGGTGTTTAACCACGCAGTAACCAGCGCCCCATCTTCTGCGTTTGACCATCGTCTTCTCGCTTCCCGTGAACTCAATGGTGAGCTCTCATCTACACCATCAGCTTCATCTGCTGAATAACTAGTTTGGCTACTAAAGAGAGGAGTTTGGTCACCAAAGAGAGGTGTTTGGGTGCTAAACAGAGGAGTTTGGGTACCAAAGAGAGGTGTTTGGGTGCTAAACGAAGGTGATTGGGTAGAGAACGAATGTGTTTGAGGTGTATCAGTTTGGTTCATGAGGTAGGTGAAGGATCTAGTGTAACTCGAGGGACTATTGGAACCCATTTCGCAAACAGAAAATGATTTTTAGTTTACTTGAGGTTTGTTCTAGGTTTAGTGAGATGTTTGTTCTAGGGTTAGTGAGATGAGTGAAGAAGAAGCTCACAAAGTTGTGTTTTATAGGCAAATTTTGTGTTAATAAAAGCGACAAGACATGAAACCGTTTATGAAAGTTTTTTACTCATTTAACTCTACAATTTTAGTGGTTGACATTGCATTTAACTCGACATAAAGCACCATACAAGCAAACTTCCTAAACGCTCACAACCTAAATCAGACCTATGAACCAATTAAAAGCAACCACAACCGCAACCATTTACACCTCTCTACCTAAACGGCAATCAATAACTACAGCCGGAAGCTAATCTATCACACAAAGGCGGAAACCTAACCTGTACTTTCTCGAGCTGATTTGAGTTGTCATCATCTCCAGTAGCTGTCTTCTTCGATGCCATCTCGAGACATGAGGAAAAAGAAGAAAGAATAAATGTTAGTTAAAAGAAAAGAGCATTCAAAGCATAAAGAGTGTTACGCATAGGTGACTCCAATTTTAAGAAACAATGTTACGCACAAAGCATTGAACCCGACATGACACAACAAAAACGATTCAATATGAGATCGCAAACCATTTCGAGTACATTACAATCACCTTTCAGACAAAACAAGAACTATAATCCAGATTTACCCAATTCGATTCAATTCAATTAAATCAGACAACCACAGATGGCAAATCAATTAACCATTTTCAACAAACTCAATTTCCCAATTCACAAATCCGATTTACGGTTTCAGGAAAGTTGGATTTTATATGCATTCCACGATTCTAACTACTCTACCAGAAATAATCATATCAGCAAAGAATAGAGTAAAGGCCCATACCTGAGAACCTCGCTGAAATTATGTATACTCGCCGGAAATCGGAGATCGAAGACGAAAAGGCGACAACCGCGAAACGACGAAGAAGGAGAGGAAGATCTGGACGAAGGAGAGGAAGAACTGGACGAGGGAGAAGAAGAACTGGACGAAGGAGAAGAAGAACAGAGAAGAACGGGGTATCGGAGTCGGAAATCTCGTCTCAGCTCGACGAGAAGCGGAGAAAGCGAAGAGGCAAAATGAAATGAAGAAAAAAAAATTTCTCGCAACACCGACGAAGAGAGGCAATCGCGGCTCGTCCTGTGTGCGACACGTGGCCTGAAGAAACCGTTTTGCGCTTGTTCCCCGAGAGACGACTCTCAGAGCTGGGCTTGCCACATCAGATAATTTGGGCATTTGTTTTTTTTTTTGGCTAAAGAAACGGTCCAGAACTGTGCAATGTTCATGCTCTAACAACAAAAACGACGCAGCATGGGCATGCTCGGTGATTTCTTTACCCTTCACATAAAAGCAGCCGAGTGGTTCCGTAAATGGACCGCACATTGCATCTACGTTCATCATGCTTTCCTTAAAGTATTGAAAAGTAATTCTACAATATATTCGGTTGATTTTTTTATACCTTCCAACACAACTCACATATAAAACCAAAAAAAAAAAACACAACTCACATAGCATAACCAGATTCTACCATTTCACTTTCAAATAATGACTAACATTTAGTTAGGTTTTCTTTTGGTTTTCATTCAGATTTTCTATCTCGCAGCAGCAAATTCTGATGCATTCAACCCAATTTTGGAATCTTTCAACGTCAATAATTTATACTCCCTCTGTTACACATACATAAAACCTCTATAAAATAATAATGTTGAGACTTTGAAAATTTATTATCTTATAGAGTTATTATTTTATCAATAAAGTAATAATAATTATTTTATAGAAACATTATATCAAAAACAAGAAACTTTATAGAAATATGATTTTTTCAGTTTTTTTATTCAAATTTTCCTTATACTTTGTAGTTTTGGAGTCATATTTTACTAAATTTTATTCAAATAGCTCCAACGAGAATCCAACTTTCAGAAAAGACAAACTACATTGGAGTCATATTTTACTAAATTGCCTTAGATATATATGCTTAAATTTAGAATTATTATTTTAACTTATTGTTGGGACTATATTTTTACATAGGAGTTTCAAAAATATTATTAACTTATCATCTTATCGCATTTGATATTTTTTACATTGGCCCAAGTTGGGACCGGATAAATTTATTATCTTATAATATTTATTATTTTATCGAGTATTACTTTATAGAGGTTCTACTGTAATTTGTTGTTTTTTTAGTTTTTACATGGAATAAGAATCAATTTAATGTTTAGCTATTAATGTATTGTTTTTTCACTTTAAATAACTACTAACCAATAACAATCCAAAAATTCAAATAATTTTCACTAATCTTTAAAAAAAAATATTTTGGCAACATTAATTAACAAAAATACATCATACTTCCCAAAATATAAGCAGCGAGAGAATTAAAGAAGGGTGAATTGGACGTATATTCATATTGGGCTTCCTATTTAAGTAAATATCCATAACAGTTTCAAAATTAGAGAGTACTATACACACACGAGTAAAAGACGAAAATGCCCCTTCTCCATTGACGATTTTTTTTAGATGAGCTGATGTCAAATGTGTGCCGAACTTCGACGAGTCAAATGTAATCGGAGTCGGAGGCTAAGGTAAGGTTTACAAAGGAGTTATAGACCATGGCACGAAAGCTGCGATTAAGAAATCAAACCCGAATTCAGAGCAAGGTCTCAACGACTCTCAAACCACGACTAATAGGAGATGAGGTTATTTTAGGGAATAATGTATAAAATATGTAATATATCCTAGCCAAACAATAGATATGGCTATATCCTTAATTAATTGATATTTAATGGTAATTCACTGCAAAATCCCATTAAAGAATAAGAACTAAAATGTCATATTATGTGTAACTTAAGGCGGGGTATATCATCACTCCAAGCAGAATTGGAAGCGTTGGTATGGGCCATACAATGTATGCTACGACAGAATAAGTTAACAAAAGTGTTCGAAACGGACTGTTTCGATGTGGTAAAATGGTGTCTAAACCCGAGGAGTGGCCAGCTTTTGCAACAATATTAGAGGAGTTTTGCAGATGTAAAACGGAGTTCACCTCCTTTTCCATAGTGCATATTTCAAGGACGAAGAACACGAAGGCGGACAAGTTAGCATGAAATGCTAGAGTTCTACCTACCGATGTGTATTATGTAAACTTTGTTTCTCTGACTTGGATTCCCGAGTCAGTTTAGAAGTATAGACTGTCGACAAAAGAAAAAAAAGGAACATAGAGTATTGTGGAAGTATAGAAAAGATATAAGAGAATTGGGAAAGTACAACCATTGGGACATATTCCTTCTCTTAACCAGTTAGTTTTCGTGAACATGAAAAATCAAATTATATATGCAATATTTGGTAGAAAAATTAGAGCGGGAGAATTCACAATTTAAAACACAGATTTCAGTAGAACTTAGAGTCTAAGGTGTAGAAAAAATGGCCCAATAATGATTTAACATTTTCTCTTATTGACTGATGGCAACTAGAAATAGATTCGCATATAAGGTCTTTTTGTAAAGTGCTCAGTGAAAGTGATGTAGCAAAAGCAATTATTAGCACAAGCACAACTCAACCAATGGACTTAATGGAATCGACTAGGATCTATGTTCCAAAAACACAGATTTTGTGACCGATTAATCATCGAATAAACGCTTGGCGGAAGCCTATCATGGCAATTATAGAGTAAAAACGGGAAAACTGAAAAAACTTCAAAATCCTTTCTTTTTTGCTTGGGATAGTTGTATGATGTTATATATATCATTTTTATATTAAATATAGTTGAAAACGACATAAAAATTGTGAAAACAAGTCGAAAAAGGCTTGGGGGCCATGAATTAGGGTAGCAGAAGATTTGAACTAGTTGTAAAGACCTCTTTGACACTTACACCTCCAACAAATACTGTGTTCTAAACAACAGTTTCTAGTTATTTAAAATAAGAGGTGCGATATGTTTCTTCTTACTCAAACACTTGCGACATGTTCATAAAGACAACCCGCACTAGTTTCAATATAAATTTCAAAATTGTTTTAAGATTCATACTCCATTCATCGCTTCTTTGCAAATTTTGATGTTAATATTGATGAGGATAGACATTTATGAATTAGGACATATGGAGTATATTTTAGCAGTTTATATTCTAAACTAGAATTCATGTTCAAGTAAAAAAAAAACTAGAAAAGACTGCGCAATTAAATGATTATTTCCTTTCAGTTAACCCTCGTTCGAAGAAACAGATTATTATTTTTTCTTTAATCCAATATTTTATCACTATCGTAAATAGTTAATTTGTGGATAACAAAAACAAATTAATGTTTGCAATTAAAAGTGCAGACGCAGGTCTTGCTTGTTGGACTCACACATTCGCCAAACCCGTTCCATTTTTGAGTACATTGATATGCGCATATCATAGATTCACAGTTTTCTTTTTCTGTTACTATGTTTTTGATAACACTTTTCTCCTTGCGTTTCCTTCGTCAGTATCCCTAAATATACATATTTCAAAACACAATTTCAGTTTAGTTTATATCAATAAAAATACGATGAACAAAAAATAAAATATAATCACTCTGTCTCATATTATAAGCAGTTGGGCAATTTTTTTCCATTCAGATACATCCGTGTTTTTCATATTTATTTTGTCCAACTATTTAGAATATGGGATAGAGGGAGTATACGATAAAAAAACGAGAAGAAACGTGAAATATGTTTTATGAGTGAAACAAACCTAGTACAAGGACGATCATGAAGATAGCAAGAGTGATGGCTTTAGTCATTTTTGATGATACAATAGAAATGATTAAAAAAAAAAATCAAATGTCAATGAGTGTAATGGTAATGTACACGTAAATAGCATATATATATATAAGAAACTATATACAAAAAAATCAACTAGTACTTAATTAGATGATCTAAATTAATAATATCTACCTAATAGAACAAATAAGAAAAATATCTACAAATTGTCTAGATGTAAAAACAAATAGGAATGTATATGAACCACATCTAATAATATTATATGATACATTAATCAAAATTTGAAAAAGTAAACAAATATAGATGATGGAAAAGAAAGAAAAAAATCATAAAAATATTACAGGAAAGCTTTTTAGTCAAAATATCATATACTAAAGCTCTACAAATTGACTAGAAGTAAAAACAAATAGGAATGTATATGAACCACAACTAATAATATTATATGATACATGAATCAAAATTTGAAAAAGTAAACAAATATAGATGATGGAAAATAAAGCAAAAAAATCGTAAAAAGATTACAGAAAAGCTTTTTAGGTGATGATTGGTTCTCCCGCTACCACCCGCAAACGCAGCGTTTGCGGTTCGTAGCGGTTCTTAGCGTTTTATAACAATCACGACAACCGCTTTCAACCGCTCTATACCACTCTGTACCGCTCTATATCGCTGAAAATCAAAAGCTCCTTTCCGCAAGCGTTTGCGGTTGCGGGCGGTTGCGGTTTGAAAAAAAAAAAAAAAAAACATAATATCTCCAAATTTGGAATAAGGGTATATTTTTTTGAAAAATACCATAATTATGTTTAAAAATTTCGAAAATACCCTAAATTTTTTCTGTTTTGAAAAATACACTTTTAAAATGTAAAAAGTATGTTTTGACGTGATTTAAACAAAAAAATAATAAATAATTACAAATTATAAACGAAAATTTAAAAAAATAATAAACTAATAAGTTTTTTTTCAAATAAATATAGTATATGTTAAACTGAAACAAATTTTAATATTTTGGATCTTTATATAAACAACTTAACCTCATACACATTCAAACCAAATGAAACTTTAAATAAATTAAAACTTTACATATATTTAAAGTTTATAAATTATTAAAAATTTAAAAGTGGAGAAATATATCTTTCATTTTTAATGTTTATCTTTTGAAAAATTTAAATATTTTTGAAACTTTGCATAAACAACTTTAATCTCACCCCATTTAAACTTTATATAAACAATCTTATATTTTTATTAAATTGTTTAAAAAAAACTAAACAGGTAATTAGGATGTTAAAATGATACAAAATTATTATCAAATATTAATATTTTATATTTCTTATTTGAATTTCGTTTTTATTAAATTAGGAATAATCATTTTACATATAAAAAGTGTATTTTTCAAAACCAAAAAAAAAGGGTAGTTTTCAAATTAAAAATTCATCAAAAAATATATTTCAAAAAAAAAATTATTAATATGGTTATAAATGTTTTGAATAATTATATATTATTTTTA